GTTAACACGATATTGTACTCATTACAAGTAAATATAATTTAATTTATATATAATTATCATCAATTCACTGAGAATTCTTATTATTGCAAAGTAATATAATAAATAGAAATTTTCTAAATGATTATTACTTGTTATTTGAATTTTATTTATGGGGAGTATTCGAATTTATTATTATTATAACGGATAGAGTAGTTGATGTAATTAATTAGATATGACTGGTGAGTGCCCATTGTTTTAGAGGATCATTTATCAGTCTGCTTTTGATAATTTTTTTTTCTTTACTTTTAACCTAAAGTCTTAGGCATTCTAAAGTTAATTTTTTATATCGTATCTGTTTTTTAGCAAAAAATCTCTAAAGTGGTTTGGCTAATATTAACATGTTACTACTCATAATCTCGTATATATATATTATTTTCTTAATTTTTTTATTATAAATTATTAATATTATGGACAATAATATACCTTACTAAAAGCAATCATCTGAGGACATTCTGGGGGTGACTTTCTTGCCGAGACAACGAGCACTAAATAACTGACAGTCAATGTTGTTTTCAGGATAGTGTACAACATCAATGTAATTTTAAACTTGGCCGTAATGCTACACATTTGGCATTTTTGTTGTTTCTGTCAATTACATAAACATATATTTGTAATTTTTCTGCTATTTGCGCCAAAACTCATTCTGTCACAGAATTTTTGTTAATTAAATCAAAGGAGTTTTCATAATTCTTAAATAGAATATATAAGCGTTCTACAGAAAAACAGATTTTAAAAGGTAAGTGCTAAGTTGCAAAAAGACAATAAATTTCAGAGAAAAATTAAATTTTCAACTTGTATTACTTTCAAAAAACTATTTATTTCAATATTTTTAACTTGTATATTAAATTGCTTTCAATCTTTTAAAGAAAAAGTCTACAACAAGTTCTCTTCTAAAACAACTTGTGTATATTTTCTTTCTTTTTTTTTTTTTCTTTTTAAAAAAAGAAAATGATCCAATTGCAAAGAACAGAAATCAGGCAATCAACAGGGGAACGAACGGACCCACTCACATTTAATAAGAACCTATTGTCCACTGACCGCTTAACAAAAGATAATACAGCAATATCTAGTTCTTTTTGAGAGATATATACAGTGAGAAATAAATATTGCCAAAAGTAACAGCCAATCTGCATTTTGACCTTAAGTGCTTGCCACCAGCAGCAGTAGGGACTCTGACTCCAAGGGTGTAGAATTTTACTCGTTTCGAATTGAAGTTGTTTTAATTTTTCGGGTTTTTTTTTTAATAAACAAAACAGCTCTTCATTTAAATTGGGTTCACATCTTTTTTTCTTTTACTTTTGAGAAAACTGTTTTGAAAACAAAAACATAAATACTATTTTAAAAAATATAATAAGTGGGTTTACAGTAATTGTGTTTATCTGTTTTTTGAATTCTAGCTGATGTGTGATTTTTTTTTTCAATTTGTTTATCCTCATAAAATTATTAATTGTGCAGTTGGGTTATGCTTAACTATTATTTTCTGGTATTCTATAATATAACTAATGTTTTATTTTAATCGCAAAATAGTAACGGAGCTTATAAGTTGTTTATCTTCTATTCAATTCCTTTTTTTTTTTTGAATCTCTTCTCTATTTAGTAATATTTTTATCCATTTATTATTTATTGTTCTCTATCTATATTATTTTCTCTATTTATATAAATTTAATGTTATTTATTTATTTTAATATTTGGATATTATGTTTTTATTCAACATAATAATCAATAGTTACCGCAACATTGAAATTTTAAAATTAATGATCAAATTTGAATTAAAAACTATTTAACGAGTTAGAATTAAATAATTATTCAAGATATCTCTTTAAATCTTAGACTATTACGAGCTTTAACTGTGTGGATTCTGTTCAAATCAAAATGGGTTGGAATTAATTAGACTTTAAATATAACTTTAAAAAAAAAATAGACTTTAAATCTATTAATTCTATTATTTTAAGTATTAATTCAAAGAAGCACGATCAAATTTTTATGACAAATGAGATTTGATCTTCAAAATAATTTATACAAAAATAATGAAAGATATTTATTATAAAGTAGAAATTCCATTAATTATTTTAAATGCCTAATAGTAACATTAGGAATTAAGTAGAAATTCATAATAGTAAGAAAAAAAAGTAAGATTATTTTAAATTCAACAAGTATTTTGATATAGAATTTTATTATATTAACTGAAATATAAGAACAGGACATTAAGTCTCATTGGTGTTTACAAATTAATTAACTATATTGCTGTTGGAAGTTCTTTAGTGGTGGAAAAGCCACTGTCTTCCATTGACAGCATTACTGTAATCCCTTCAATTTCTATTACTGTGATCTAACAGCTTCAAGTCTTACCAACCTTCATTTCACGGAAACTAAAAATTAGCTAGCAATAAAGAAAAATAATCTCACTTAAATAGGAAAACAAATTTAAATCCCTTAAATAAGGGAAAAACAGAACTAAATAAAATTTAGTATACCTTCAAATAGATCAAATGGAAATTATAACAGTGCTCTGTTTCACAATAAAATAGAAGAGCTAGTGGAAGAAGGCAATATGCTCTGGAAGCTCTCTAAGTTTATTATCTATTTCTTAAGGATGGCTAAGCTGCTTGCTTCAGATGGCAAAAGCCCATTCCAACAACTCCAAAGATGCTACTATTTAGTGCTCCTACTTGCTACCCTCAATGCACACAGTATCCCAACGTTTCCTTACTTAACATCTTCGGGTTAGTATGGTATAAAAGGAAAGTTTGATTGGCTCGGATTTAGAGCTTTCCCTATGTTAAGGTATTTCATATTATATTTATAAATTAATATAATTTGCTGATAAAAAGACTGTGTATTGTATTGTTACTCTTGTTAATGATGGTGCTCAAATATGTTTTCTATGGAATGCTTGGCAATAACCTGCCACCCCCACCGGAGCTCTATCCTCTCTCTTAACCAGAATGGCATTCGGCCGAATGCAATCTCGCGCTCCAGAACCAAGCAGCTCAGAAGCCTTAGAAGCTCCAATATTTAAGCTCATTTTAGGTCTTCAAACTCTGGATCTTCAACGCGTTTGCTCTAGTCAAGCAAGCAAGCAAACACATGGGTTCCAAAAACAATGTACAACGTTATCCCAACGTCAAGTCTTACATTCTGTTGGAACGAAGTTCCACCCTTCAGTTCCTTGCCCAAGTTCAGTACCTGCCTATGATGAACACACGTAATGCGCTATCTCATCAGCTTTGGTTTACGAGATGCATATGAAGTTTCTACAAGCTATTGACACGGCGTACTTTGCCGAGTCAGTACCATCCTTCTCATAGCTTTTCAAACAAGATATCGTCCAATACTTTGACCCAGCTTATCCAAATTTCTGGTAGCGATGGATCCGCCATACTTGTGAAAATATATCCTTATTTCAGTTACATAGAGATTCCGGTGATCATTCGTCTCGACCTATCTCTTTCTACGCTCCTTCTACGGTTGTCTCCGATCCGCCGCTTAGCTTATCAAAAATTCTCTTTGATGCCACTTCTTGATCGGTTTATGCTGCAGTAGAGACATCAGGTGGAAGATCTTCTAGACTTTATAGTGTAGCAGAGAGTGGAATGCTGACAGCCGGAGGAAAAGCCACTTCAGATAGGAAAATGCAAGAACTTATAATAACAATTTGACTTCAACTATGTTAAAAGGGAACTCCGAAAGAAGCCTGGAAAGCGTATAGAAAAACTGAAACCCATTTTGGTGCTTCTTTGATTTGGTTTGGATGGTGTGGGAGGGAATCAAAACAAAAGTCCGGAATATTTGAGAAATATCGGACTTTTCTTGCCAAACACTGGGGACTTTTCTTGCCAAACAAACAGCCTAAATATGAAGTCAATTTTAATTGAAGAGTTAGGAAATTTTTTCTCTATTAATTAATAATCATAATTTTGAGCATTGAGATCTTCGTAAGAATGATGGGGCAATAAGTATATTTGTGTCTGTAAATTTTAATTTACTATATATATGCATTATGCGTATGAGTTCTTATGTTTCTTTATAATTATATCTTATGTATGATTTTGAAAATTCAAAATAAAGAATCATTTCAGTCTATTTCAATTTCAGAGTGAATCAAACAGTTTCATGTATCGATCAATACAAGATATAAAAACTCCTCTACATGTAATAAGTTCACTCTATGCATATCCACTCTTTCTGCAATTATCAAACATTTGATCATTATAAGAAGACCAAAAACATACTCCATTCTTGTATGATAAGTTAAAACCATCATCTATTCGTTGCCTCGGCGTGCTCATCGACCTTGCCTTTGCCTTTGCAGATTGTCGCTTGCCATGTAAGTCGAGAAAAAACATGGACTACTTCATCTCCGCCCAGTAGTACTCCGATGTGTCGAAAACAGAATTCTTCTTGAAATATAGTATGATGAGCAAATTTATCCATCTATAGAATCTTGGTTTCGCTACTTCTTGTTCTACATTTGCATTGCACCAAGCAGATCACTAGTTGATTCAGATCCCATTCTTCTCTAGTGTATATGTCTTTATTCGCCAATTGTTCTAACCAACTTGCTGGACTGCTAATTCTTTGTTGGTACTGATTCTTCAAAACATATGACTGTTTTCCTCTCCTAAAATGTATAATTAATTTGGGAATTTGAAGCATGGGAAGAATTCCCAAGAATACATTTGGAATTTCATACGATAATTTCAATATAATTAAATCAGAAGATTCTATTGTCCAATTACCGATGTTGGAAAAGGTAATTTCATCATCTCCCATCCTGTCTCTTTTGATATTGGCTTCTTGTTTTTTGAACCATAAGGCTTCCATCTCTTCCTTCGAAAGCATACTGTAATCCCAACATCTTTGGCTTTTGCATTCAAGCTATACACATGAAATTAAAAATAATTAAAATCATAAATAAAGAAGCAAAATTCATCATATACTTTTTAGATTTTAGATTTTACCATCTGAACTGATTGCAGATCCTTCTCATGGTTCTTCCCCTAGTTGATGACATGAAAAATAAATTAATAACACCTCGCCAATCAAAATTGTACTCCAAAAACATAATTCACTTATGAAATTCATTCGAACAAAACATTTTATTTAGTATTGTAACCTTAACCTACCTTAGTATCTGCATCTCCCAATGCCTTGGATTTGAAAATTTGCTTATTTTCGCCATCTATGTAATGATCAGTATTATTTTTAGCTCTGACCTGGATTCGTGCTTTTGCATTAGATGGCAAACGCTTCAATTTCATGGTTAGTTCGCGTCTAGCAGCTCGGCCACGGACGATAGCTTGAAGTCTTACTAATCCCTTCAATGCTCGCAAAGCTTTCCTTGCCTATTTTGGTAGTTCAAAATTTCTTCATTAGGGTTAGAGCATTATTAATGCAGCTACAAAAATAGTTCTGATATGCCATTTCAAGAACCGCATGCAAATTTCTTGATAAAAACAAGCCAAAACACTTGTCTCCCGTCAGTAAGCGATAGTGAAATGTATATAATATAATTAATGACATAGCCATTAATGAAAATTTAAGATACATCCCGAATTAATATAATTAAATACATAGCCATTACAATGAAAATTTAAATGACATCCCATTACAACTCACCGAATGGAATCAGAAACCAGAAATGATATTTTTGAAGCAGTTGAACTAATGAAAAGTTGCATTCAGATAGAATTCCTAATACCTAATAACTGGAAATTCTTAACTACTATTCAATCAATGCCATAAACAGAATTAAGCAAGTTTAATGATCATCAGTAAACTTAAGTTTAAATTGCTTGAAATAGCTTTCATTATATATATAAGAAAATTTATATCTTGAAGCTTACAAGATAGGCACGGAAAGCACTCTGTATCTTAATAGCAGCCAAGTGTTCATCTTTCTTGCTGAAATGATGACAATGAGAGGATTGAGAAGAACCGGTAAGCCGGACAACCTCAGCGGCTGCATGAGCAGCTGCGATGGCAGCCTCAGCAGCAGCCGCCGTCGCAAGAGCTACAGTCAGTGCAAACTTTCTCTGCTTTTCTGTTGCTTCATCTATACTCCTCTGCGGTGATGGAGGAAGCAGAGCAGGGCGTTGCTTAAACTTTAGCCTTCCAAGAATCCATCTCCACCTCTTTGATTTTTGCAGATTTTTAGACTTAGAGAAAAGAAAAGAAAAGGAAAATCTTTAGTAAATGTTTTATTTTAAAGAAAATTAAATACTTAGAAAAAAAAATTAAGAAACAGAGGAAATGAACCTTCTCTGTTTTTTTTTTTTTTTGACATTTACCTTCTCTGTTTTTGGTTTTTGCTCTGAAACAAATAGCTTCTTTAACAAACCAAACCAGCAAGTTCTCCTTCCCATTGGAGATTTTTCTGAATTTTCATTAACCCAATTTATTAAACTAACTTCATCTTCTATTTCTTCAAGCAAACCTGAAATTTGGAAAAGAAATCACAAATTCGCAAACCATTTCTGCAATAAGAAAAGCATGAAATGTTGCTAAAAGACTATGTACTCATGTTTGACTTCTGTACTAAATATTAGAATACCTATAAAATATTTATCCCATAATATAAAAATAATATAAAAGTGTCATTATCATAAACAGGAATCTCAAGATTTTATAAATTTAGTGATAGTCTCATATTTACTTCATAATATAATAAAAAACTTTAATAATCAAATGGAATATTTGTTTTACTCATGTCAAGAAAATTACAATTTGAATCTTGATGCTCAGTTTCTTGAAATATTTATTATGTAAAAATTAAAAATTAAAAATTAAAAAAGAAAAAAGAAAGAAAGAAAGAGAAAAACGAAGTATTACCTGTCTAATTTATGGCAGTATCAATCATCACAGGATAGAAGAACACAAAGTGACCTGTCTTGAGAGCCTTCCATAAATAGATGAAGCTATTAAGCACAAGGTTCATGTTATCATCAAGAAAATGAAATGAATCTTGAAAATATAATCTTGAATCTTGAACTGAATCTTGAAGCTTGGAGATCACTTCATGGGTATAGAAACAAGAAAAGGATTGAAGAATCCATTAAGAATTGAACTGGGTTTTGGTTACTGTTTTGAAAGTGTATATATATATATATATATATATGTATATGTTAGTTGTTTTGGAATAGTGAGTATTTAAGAGATTTGAAAAAAAAGGTACGAGAAATAAAGAGGGTGATGTGTCAAGAAATGGAAGCAAAGGGAAGATGATGACTTGTTTGCAAGTCTGTTCTACTTCATGGGGGGTCCCATTCGCTTCTCTCTCCTCCAAATGTCTTTTTGAACAACTGCCACTGACCGTTTCAATATCTGCTTTTGCTAAATGGAGTTACTATATTATCCTTTTATTATTCTTAATCATATTTCCCAAATTGAGAAATGTATTTTCTTTTCCTTCATAATAATAATAATAATAATAATAATAATAATAAATTTTTAATTTTGTTATAAAAAAAATTGATTTATTTCCAAACAAGTCATATAATACTACCAATGTGTTCATCCTCGCAACATGTGAATTAAGATAGTAAACGAACTCAATTCTTATAAGTGTAAGCTTATCAATTTAATTTTTAAAAAATATATTTATTAAGATAACAAAAAAATAAAAAACATTATAAAATTTCAAAAATCATAATTTCTATTATTCTCTTGCCTCCCTTTTATCGGATTCAAATAATAAACACTCTTTACAAAAATCTTAAATTTTAACTATTTAGATATTTATTTGAGAAGAAATTAAAATTACGTATGAATATTTTCATTTGGAATTCTTTTATTTAACCATAAGACAAATGAAAACCCTAAAATCAATGACATATGCACATAATTAAAAAAAAATATATATATATATATAATTATATTATATATATAGAAATTAAGGATTTAATTTGTGTCCACAATTTTGGGAACCGTGAGATCCTTGGAATTTTTTATGTGGAAATAATCTAACAAGCATTCTTTTGCATGTGGAATTTGTATGCTTCCTCACAATTACATATGTCGTAGTAATGGGGGGAAAAAAACCAATGCTTGCTACAAACTCACTTGCCAAAATGAGTGAAGAAAAATATTATTCTACGTTAATTCTATATTAATTTCAGACATGCAAGTGATAGTAATTGTTATTTAGAAAAAAATCACTAAATTAATAATTCAGTGATCGAGTATATTAAATAAAATTTATAATATATTACGCGATATATTTAAATCTCTGAATTTTTAAATATATCAAATATTCAATTATTGAATTATTAACTCATAATATAAGAGATAATATAAAAATAGATGGTGCTAAAAAGAAAAAATGTATTGGTTTTATGAGAGAGCAATGTTTAACTAATGAAAGTAACATGCATACATGTGTTAGTCAAAATTTTAGAGGCATTGAAGCATGTAATGCATGTGTGATGCCATTTTCTCCATCCACTTGGAAAAAGGAATTGGTATGGGCATACCCTCTTTTTTTTTTCTCCTTTTTTAAAATTTGTAAGGTTTTGGCTAATAGTGAATTTGAGTTTATTGCTAAACCACATTTAGCCAATGTAATAGTAATATAATTTTAAAGAGTATAAAATTGTTAGGTTTGTAACTTTATGTATTAGAGACAGTTATTTGATTACTGAGTATAAATATTTATAAAATTTGATAGTGTTCTTTGAGGTACTTTTATAAAATAAATAATTTATAGCGGTTAATTACTTTCTATCAGTTTAGTTTATCGATTAATTAGGGTTTATTTCAGATAGAAAAATAATTTATAATAATTAATGATTAATTATTAATTATAGCAACTTTGAATATGTATATTTCATTTACATAATTTATATTAATTAATGATTAATTTTTAGAAAAAAAATCATATTTTAATGTTTATTATAGCAACTTTGAATATATTTCATTAACAATATATTACTAATAGTATATATATTTGAATATTTCAACACAATTCGATCGACATTTTTTTCATATTGATTTTTCAATTTTCTTATATGGACCTGTTCAGTTAGCTTATTTAGTGTTATTTTAAATTTTATAGAATATTTTTTTTAAAATATTGATGCTTTTGTATATTCTTTCTTTGCATTTGATATGAAATTTAACAACTCTAGAAATTGGACCTACAATTGTTGCAATTTAATTTACAACAAGACATGAGAAGTTTAGCCCCACATTGTGAATGATAAGCCAACCCATGTGTACTTAACCAATTTCTTTGGCCATGAAATTGGAACTTTTAGCTATTATTTGCCTTACTACAATGTCCCAACATTAAATAGTACAAATGTTGCTTTTGAGCTGTTGAAGTCTTAAGAAGATAATCTATAAACAAGTTAGAGAGCTTTTGTTTAATTGAGCTTCTTTGAATTGTGTTTATAAGAAGAGCAAAAGGTGGCTTTTGGCTTTTTAGCTGTGCATGTAATCATGCAAAGAATAGAAGGTATTTTCTTTTCTTTTCTTTTCTTTTCTTTTCCCTCATTGATAGATTTGAAGATTTTAGTCCCACTCCTTTTTAGAGCTTGCCTTATCTTATTAATTAAGTTGATAAAAAAAGAAAATCTTTGGTCCTCCCTTCATGTCTTAATATTCAACTTGTAATAAATGAATATAATTTGATTAATTAATATCTCATAAAAATTCAATATGAATAATTTTTATGGCCTAATATATTTATTTGCTCCAAGCTTTTTGATTTATTATAATTGTAGTCTATGAGCATTTTCGGCAAAATTAATTATTTGAGTAGCTATTAACTGTTTTAATAGCGTTTAATAGTTTGAATAGTTTTTCTTAACACTAAACATTACGAGATTAATCTTTTATACAACGTTATATTAATCTCTAAAAACTAATTCAAATACTATGTTACCGAACACTATAAAAATAACATTTAAAAAGCTACTCGAAAAGCTGTCGTCGAACATACCCTAGATATTTTTTTTTTAATTTATGATTATACTCTAATTTATAACTTTGGCATAAATTGCATTCTGAAATAGAAGGAAATTAATAGTTTGCTAAGCTTTTGCTTTCAAAAAGAAAAAATAGTTTGCTAAGCTAGCTTCTTTTTTTTTTTTTTATGACATTTCAAATACTAGCAAATGGCAATAATAAAAGTTTTTATGATCAAGCCCCTAATTAGAATAATAAAATATTTCTGCTTGTAGTATTTATAAAAAGCACTTTCGTGAAAGTATAGTAAAGGCTCAAAGGACAATGACCAAGCCTAAGTTGTAATATAAAGATATGGATTAACTAATCATCACTAGAAAATAAAAATTAAAAAAGCAACTTTTGACTAGGCATGGCCGGTTCAGTGAACCGCCGGTTCGAGATGTTTAAAATTTTAAATCGGAATCGACCCTTGAACTTCCGGTTTCGGTCCGGTTCCGGTTCCGGCACAGTTCCGGCGAACCGACGGTTAGAATTACGATTCCAATTCGGTTCCGGCATTACGCAAATTTTTAAAAAAATAATAAAATTTTGATTCCGAATTCATAAATAAATAATAATTTTAAAATGTTTAGAATGTTGCTTCTTATGGTGGATGACGACGAATATAACGTTCCTCAACTAGAGTTTGATATTAAACTTCATCATTAAATTGTGGTGAAAAATCAATGGATGGGTTGTTTGAATCAATTTCTTTCACGCTTTAAGCAATTCGCTTTCTCTTGGAGCTTTGTGAATTGTGTGCCATGTTTTTAAATGAAATTATGGAAAAAAAAAATGAATAAATGGAATATGAAATCAATGGAATAAGTTAAAATTATTATTTTCAAATACTAAGAAAATTATTTTAAAAAATCAAATGAAGTAAATTTAAGAATGGAAAAATTGAGATTAGAAGGAATTTAGAATTGGATATATGAAAATAAAATAAACAATAGATAATTTCAATAGTAAGGAAAATAAAGTAATAGAAAAAATAATGAACTATTGAATTTAAGAGAATTTTGACTGAGAATAAGAGGAAAGTTAGGATATAATTGGTTGTTAAAAAAAATCATCAACTCATTATATTTATACATTTTTTTCATTTATTAGTTTCCCAAATTGTCTCTTATAACAAAAAATAACAATTATATTTTTGGATAATTTAGTAAATCATAATAAATAAATAAATAATTGATTAAAAATGAATAAAATTTATTTTATTTACCAAAAAATTAAATAAAAAAACACCTTATTATTATCAAAAACTATTCGTTACACTCTTTTTTATACACTTTGAAAGTTTTTTTTATATATAAACAAACTATTCATGTACCCATTTTTATATATAAATTAAGTAAAAAATGTTGTATTTTTTTTTACCACTTTTTATAACTTATGCTACCCATTGTACTTCTCTTCACCATAAATCAAATCAACTACAATCAATTACGTTAATATAAATTTTTTTATAAAAATTTTTAAAAGCTACAATTTTTTTGTGCATCTTTGGTTCGAAAAAACCGGACCGGAAACCGCCGGTTCGGTTCATATTTTAAGATTCACATTGAACCTTAACCGACCCTTGAACCGCGGTTCCGGTTCCAGTTCCATTTGTTCTTACAGTATGATTCGTTGATTCCGGTTAGAAACCGAACCCGGTGACCATTGCCTACTTTTGGACCATGTAATAAAATGAATTAATATAAAAATAGTATTTGCATATGCTTTCTTTTGATTTACATGAAACTCAACACCAAACTTTACATTCTTTCTTTTTCTTTTTTTCTGAAAACCCAAATAGCAACTTTGAACTATGCTTAATTAATTTTGGTATGAATTAAGAATAACAAAAAAGCCAAGGAAATAAACATCGTTTACGATTCATTAATGACTATAATTACTCTCACAACCACCATTTTACCGCCGGTTCCGGTTCATATTTTAAGATTCACATGAACCTTAACCGACCCTTGAACCGCCGGTTCCGGTCCAGTTCCATTTGTCTACAGTATGATTCGATTCCGGTTAGAACCGAACCGGTGACCATGCCTACTTTTGACCATGTAATAATGAATTAATATTAAAAATTAGATTGCATATGCTTCTTTGATTACATGAAACTCAACTACCAACTTTACATTCTTTCTTTTTCTTTTTTTCTGAAAACCCAAATAGCAACTTGACTATGTAATTAATTTGGTATGAATAAGAATACAAAAAAGCCAAGGAAATAACATGTTTACGATCATTATGACTATAATTACTCTCACAAACACCCATTTGCCAACATTGAAGCTCTTTGCTTCATTAGATTTTGGTATTAAGAAAGGAAATTTTATATCTTATAATTCTTTCTTTGCCTTTAACAATTTTATATCTTATCATTATTAAAAAAATGACATTTTTTCCAATTCACGTCTATAATTAATACCATTTTTTTCAGACTTTTAAGTTGGAGTTCGATACAGTGTCTTTTTACTTTTAGCTTTATAAAGTTGAGCTCAAACTCAATAGCTCAACTGATAATCTGAAAATTTTACTAATTTTCAATTTAATCTATAATTACATGTCAAGTCATTTAATTTAGTAATTTGAACGGTTGATTAATTTAAAGTAAAAATTTTAATTAATTTGATGGTTTAACTAACTATTAAATCAAAATAAAATAAAATAAATTTAATTTAATTTTTGGAAAATATATTAAGATGGTATCAACCACAAATCTGTGGGAGTATATATTATGACATTTTGACTGAAATTATTTCCTCACAACCAAGCATTTAAACTGGGCTGGTGTTTTGACTTGTGGGGAGAGAATTAAAGGGATTGATTTATGGAAAGCAGCATTAATTAGCCTATTAGAATGGTTCCACATGCCAATCGATTTGATTGGTATACTTGTCTGTTAAATTCCATTTTGAAACCACTACATTTATAATTTCTTCACAATGAGCCCCCCAACTTGAATTTTTCTCTATTAAGAGTTTTTTTTTTTTTATGATAAAATTAAAATTCATGTAAAGTTCAACTGTGGCAGTTTTCAATCACTAAAAATTACAATATTTTTTAAAGAAATATATTATGTTAAGAGTGAAAACGTCTCAAGTTCAAAACCTTCTATTGCAAAAGTTTTCATCAATTTAATACTTTATTTTCGAATCCTCTTTTTTTTTTTTACAATGAAATGTTTCATTAGAGAATCACCATAAAAAACCAACGATGTGTTAATTGGAGTAGTAAGCAATCTCAATTCCTATAAGGATAGAACACAAGTTCAAATTCCAGAAAACGCACTTTATCAGAGTGTTAAAAACCTTTACGCTTTACGGTCCGAGGAGATTCAAGATATTTACTGAGTCATATAAATTTACATATGGAGTTACATACCCATTTTTCTTTTACCTTTGTCTATTATTCTATATGCCCTTCACAGTTGAATTACATTACAGAAGCAAGATGTTAAGAACTCAAAAGAACTTCACTATATACATCACCATTTTCCATTCTTATCCATGACTTAATAGAAAAGGGCTGCTCTATTATCTCCACAATTCTAGCTCCTCTGGCCCAATTTCCATAGCCACCATAACCAGTATGCCTAGCAAAGCACAGCCATAGTTTCCTGTAGGGGCAGCACCAGTCCAATCCATGGTTGTGTCCCACAAATACTGCCTGCCATAATAACCAACAGGACCCATTTGTCATTTTCAATGTCCGAAAAACATAGCTATATAGCTTTTTTTGAGGTTCAACTTTCAGCAATGCTAGCCACACAAGACACATCAAGTCTCTGGCCCCAACCTAGACAATTTCATAATCAATTTCTTTAGAACTAGTATTTCATTGAAGATATAAATTCCTATGTTTGTTTAATATGTGTCCTTTTGTCTTTTCAGAAAATAAATTCTGAAATATAAGGATTCATATTTAATTGGTTACTTATCCTACATTTTCAAACTTCTACATGTAAAATGTCGAGACTGCTGTTCTCATGTCAACATTTGATGTTCACTTCATTTCCAGAAAATGGCACTTCTTTGTGCGTCTCTCAAAGGCACTCCTGCACCTTGCACCCTCTGCCTTGCGCCTTTTTTCTAGGCTCCAGGACCCCTCCATGCCTTAGTGTGTCATTGCCTTCAATAACTATGCCAACTTGCGAAACTCATTTTTCATTCAACCATCTTTACTAAGACCACAGAAATACCGCCTAGTCAACAACTGGCATCAAGCCTGTCAAGCATATATCCAAGCCAGGCAAAGTCTGATGGGCTTATGATTTGATATCCTCTCACATGGCCATTTTATTGGCAAATTAGCTAAACACTGGACCACTGGAGATCTTAGTTCCAGGGAAGTGCAAAAACCCTCTCATTCTTTGCGTATATGTATGTGTGTGAGCATGTACACAGACTTATGTATGCAATAAGTCTTTTCAACCCAAGAGAAAAGCATTTTACATGAATGTACATAGTGACTGTAGCATTAAATATAATAAGACCTCACCTTGACTGAAGATCTTTTAACGAGAATGTCCATAATACCAAATTCAGCTTCTTGAGCAGCAACATGTTCCCTATTAATAGAGCCCACACAAGGCTTGTGTACACCAAACCAAGGTGCCACTTCCTTATATGCTTTGCTCGGTATATGCCAAAAGATAACCTCAGGAATCCTGTCAAAACAGAAAAACAAATGTATAATGAATGACCAAGCACAACAAAAATAAAAGAGATAAAAATGGTAGGGGAAAAAAAAGAAGAATTTTTCTTAACATGCCTTGATGACAGTAATTTACCTAATCAAATTCAGATTCTTTGATTCTCTCATACCACACAACATACTATCCAAGCTCCAAAATATTCTATTGGACAATATTTTAGCATATCCTTAAAATGTCTGCTAAAAAGTCCAAAGAAATTTGTACTTGACATTTTGTTTACCTTGAATCAGGGTTGATCTCTTGAGATTTACGCTGGAACCATTCTGCTTGTGCCTTTGATATAACTTCTGGATATGAACCACCACCAGAATCAAGGAAGTACATAATCACAACTTTTGATTCTGGATCAGTGGAGGATGCAACTTGGAGGACATAGTTGGATATACTTGGCCAGAGACCTTTGGGGCCATTCCTTGAAAATGATAAACTATTATCCTCAATCTCTTTTTTCATCAGCTCTATGCGTTGCGTGCCTCTGAAACTGCAGGTTTCTTTTGCTGGAATAGTAATTAAATCTCCATGAAATAGGGGCTATTATCAGTTCCTATAATAAAAATCCTATAAAAATATTAACCATCAATACCAAACTCTAATTCATTCAAAAAGAATAATTTTTGTTTTTCTTTTTGTATCCAAAAGGAATTCAGCGTCAAAATAGAGAATGCATTGAACTTAAAGAAAAACCGTTTTAGATGAAATAACATCAATCATAGAAGAAAAATTTAGAAGAAAAATTCTGATTCATTCCGATTAAACTTCCTTCCTATTAATCTGGAAGTTCTTCTCAGATACAAGGAAATGATCCAGTCGGAATCATACAAAAGGGATAAAAATAACTGGGTATATTATGCGATTTATTGGTATCTAAAAAATACAATTTAAGCGGGCAAGACGAAAAAAAAAAGATGCCTGAGTATCATCTGTTCCACACAGAAGCGATATAAAGGGACATTACTTGCCCTGCTTGTGATAATAGAGCAGTTCACTTCATTTCTTTATCCTAAGGCATCACATAACAAACCATTTTGTTTGCTTGGTTGTTTGACTTGATAAAAAGGTATGCTATAATCCAAGAAAACAAACATACTGCATCCTATCTTCAAATTACAACTAAGAACTATAAAGAACAACTAATTTTCTCAAAGGAAGATAAAATTATGGTAAATTTATTTGTAAATCTAACATAATCTTCATCTCTTCTCTTGCGAAACAGATTTGGGTTCAAACTTATCATAGGTCAGCTCAAAGAAGCAACTATATTCAGAAAAATTTAGCAGCAATCTTGTAAAACACTCAGGCACAATAGGTCTTTCATTTCTTATTAAAGAAAATATTTCAAATATTTAGTAATTGAGTGTCTCGAAACTTTATGCTTACTTGAATAAGATGAATTAGTTCCAGGGCAATGAACTAGAGGAATTCCAGGGGCTGAAAACCACTCCATTGGCCATTCAAATGATGCATCATCATGATTTCCAAAAACACTAGCCCACGGTATGCCTCTGGCCCTTGTTGGAGAGATTGCTTGATCCCAATATAAGCTTGCATTCGCAATTGGAATATTGTTGGCAGTTATTACATCTCCAAGATACACTACAAAATCTGCAATTCCATTGTGCTAATGAATGTGCATACAGTACACTACTCGAGCTCCAATCAAAACCTGACTCAACCTAATGCTTACTGTTTAGAGTTCAAATGAAGGCTTCTACTCATAAAATCCGAGTGAGTTCTGAGTTAAAGCTTGAATTTCTAATCTATAATGCATAAACCTCCATTTTCATCACTCTCCATTAATAATTAAGTTCAACTGAGTCAATAAACCAAACATGCGTTCGTCTTACATTACATTCAATTATATGTGTGTGTATATATATGTGTGTGTGTCTGTGTAGAGAGAGAGAAAATTGAGCAGGACCTGGAGTTTCATGGTCGAGCACAGTGGACATAACCTTGACGGAGTTCACATCTTGTTTTGGGCCCCAATCAGTCCAGGCGTCTTCTCCGAAATGAAGATCAGCAAACAGTGCTATCTTGAACACTCCGTCGCCACCTACTCGAAGGCTGTTCTCCTCCGCCTGTGACGTTTTCAGCCTGATGGCAGATTGCAGTTGATGAGAAAATCCGACGGTTAGTATGAATTGGAAGACGATAGAGAGAAACATGAAGGAATGAGCAAACCGCTGTTCCATGGCCATCACTGGACGGAGACAGAGACAACTCTTGTTGCGAAGTGTAATGGCGTAGTTGGTTTCTAGTTGTGAAACAGGATTTTGGAATATTCCACTTCAAACCGAAATTCCAATTCCATTTAGAAATAAAATGAAGCATAATTTTAGAGAAATTAATATATAAAACATGCAATAAATTTCATATTTTAACTTATATTCTAAAGATTTTATTTTTAATTTTTAATTATATATCATGTACAATAGTATATAATTTGAAATTTTAATATTCAATGTAATAAATAAATATTTGAAATTTGCCAAATAAACAATTAAACATACTTTTCAAAGCTAAATTATTTAAATGGTATTGGGATATAATTATATTAATAAAATAATCTTTATGTCACATAATTTTAATTATTTAATATAAATAATTAGAATTACTTTTCTCTAAGTTTAATCTTTGTTTAAATTCTTTGGGAAAATAATAATTTATATTTGGAAAATGATTTTGATGTAATGGAAATGATATTACAAAATTCAGTTTTTCTCTGAGGAATATTACAAAATTTCTTTTTAACTAATTAAATTCACAATGAAAATACATAATCATTAAAATTTATATAATAATCTTCTAAAATTCTAATGCTATGAATTGTTTCTAACAAATATAATTAGAATAAAGTAAATTGAGTTAATCAATAGTTTGAAAAATTATTCAATTTAATTCTATCAATTGATATTGATCACCCAACTCTAATAAGCTTAATACACGTATACATATTCGCATAGAATCATTTAAATGCTCTCCATGATTTCAAAAATCGATGCAACTCATATTTTAGCTCTATTCTTATTATTGCAAAATTCTCCTCGGTTAATTTTCATAATTTTCAGTCTCTTTTCGATTTTTTTTATTAAAAAATCAGTGAATCAGATTGAGCACGTATTAATTCGAGCATCGATTTTTTTATGGAATGAGATTTAGTTCATCCATCTTGTACTTCAAATGTGTTGGCATTAGATTTGATTAATTAATAAATAAAGCCTGTTTGAGTTTCAAACAAAAAAAGATTTATATACTCTCCAACTTCTTATTCATTTTACATTTTCTATAATAATCATATAATGAGTTTTTATAATATTACTATCTTCGTTTCTAAATACTTGTGACATACGGAGTCTCGCGTGTTTTAAAAAAATTATTAAATTTATTTAAATTACAATAAATTATTGAGTACTGCTTTAATTTAATATATTGAAACACTAAATTTTTTAGGAATTTAAAAATTAATTGCTGTTCATATACAAAGGTTAAACAAAGAAAAAAATTATTACTCCTTCAACTATAAATGTGACTAATATTTTAAAATATATTATTTTTTAAACGTGACAAATATTTAAAAAGAGAAAAATTTATGTGTAGTGTCACGGGCAATTTTTTTTTAATTGTAATGTATTTACATATAGAAATACTTTCAAATTTACATTTGATATGGCAACATATTTCCTGGTAGCTTATCAAGTTGAGCATAAATGAACCATATCTTCTTTTTACCATTCATATCAAAATATGCTATGCTATTAGGTAGCATCTTTCTCTTATTAAAATAACAGAAATTCATGCACATACAAAAACTCTATTTGCACATGTACCGCAAATTCTAATATGCACTAATTAAAAAATAATTTAAAAGGAAGATAAATACTCTTTAAGTCATAATAACAAAAAGCAAAAGGCAACTGTCGTCCCCTAGGCAGTGGGCAAACGCGGGGTCGCGAGCTTTCCAGAACTCCTTTTTCTGATGAAGTAAATTAACTTTAATTGGTGAGGGTAGTTAAGTCAATTCATATTATGTCAACCAACTTCCTGCTTAAGTCGAGTTGCCGACTTGTTTAAAAAGCCTGGTTACGTTTCCGCTTGAAATTGCAAAATTCAACTTTGCCACTATATTACATTTTTTCAAAATCCTAAATACTCCTAACACAAAAAACTATATATATAGTGCTTGTTAATAAGTAGAATATAAAGAGTCACCTATGTGGTAAAATAAATTTAAATTTATAGAATTGAATTCGATAAAATTTAATTTTTCAAATTTTCATAGAAAATACCAAAATTTTGATTTATAAATGATTTCTCTAAGGGGTTACAGTAATCTGAAGAAATATTTATAATAATGTTAATGTAATTTGAATTTTGAACTTTCGTTTCTATTCCATAATTTTGAACTTGTATTAGTATTCCGTTAAAATAAAATGATTTGCATTCAATTTTCTCAAAATTAATCAAACTATAATAAATCATTTGTTAAATAGAATTTTTTTAAAAGATTAAAATTTTAATTTTGTTTTTATCAAGATTTAATTAATGATGATGTAGCGTTTTGTTGTTATATTCTCTACATCTCTTGCGTATAAGCCTAGTTTGAATTTCACATAGATTAACAAGAACTAATTAATATAGTTGAAGTATATCTTTTATTTAGTTTTCTCCAAAAATATCTCTGTACAATAATCTCTTCATCCCATTTTGTTTGTTTATTATTTCTTTTTGGAACGTCTCAAAATGTCTATAAAGTTTATAAATTTAAGCATTGTAAATAATTATTTTTTTCGTAATAATATTTATAATTATTAATTAAATAAACGATTTTATTAATATTTTAATGAGTTAAGGTTAAAATACGACAAAATAATCTTTGTTCACTAAATTCTTAATATGCATATTTTGTCAAACTGTGCAAATAAAATGAGATAGAAAGAATATTATTAAATGATGTATATACAATTGTAAATATGGATGTACATTAAATAGGAGGTATATTAAGATTAAATAATAAATAATTTTTTTAGAAAAAATAATAAATAATCTTTTCAAAATGAGATAGAAATACATTTTGGAATAGACGAAAAAAGAAAATGAAAAAAATATATATATATAGTATGGACAAAGTATTTATTAAGAAAGAAATATACCACTTCCATTTTATATTATATTAGGTGTCAAATTAGAGAATTTCACGAGAATTAAGGAAATCATGCAAAATCATCGATGTAGCTATTATTACTAAAATGTCATTTTCATAAGGAATAATTTAATGAGCTAATACTTTACTAAACTAATAATTTAATATTTTACTATCAATTTTCTTTTTATAATTATTTTTTTTCTTTATTTTTTTTAAATCTCTGGATAAAAAAAAGATTGCTTCTTCCATATTTTTTTTAATTTTCAAATAAGGAAAAAACTCGTTTTCCTACATACTTTTCATCATCTTTAAAAAAAAAAATTCCATCTAAATACAGACTAGATAATAATGATCCAGTCGATTAAAACGGTAGATAGGATGACAGAGGAAATGATGATAGCTTAATTATCCTATCCATTGCTACTATTTTGAATCATAATAATGTCACAAATCTTGTACAGTCCTATTGAATAAGGGCAAAAAGGGAAATAACAAGCCTACGTAGTACCTACAGTCATACAAACAAGCCACGTAATCAGCGTGGGATTTTATATTTGCAGTCAACATTCTCAAACACTGACAAAGTCCTTTCCGAGCAAGGAAGGAAGATAACTTGTTAAGCAAAGCTTATAGAACAATTTAGTAATTTAAACAAATGTCAAGGGTTATATATGCTTAGACAAACCAAATTAAAAATACAAGGGGCTTCTACAATTCCCAGAAAACAAAAAAACCCGCAACTTTTCTTTTCCTTGTTGTGATCACCCTAACTAAGCTCCTTAAAATCCTGCAATTCTTTCAATTCTTTGGCCAAATCTTAAACGTGTTTGTGTTTCAATCATCTTTTTCTTAGCGAATCACAACTGCCCTTTTCTTTCTTCTTTTCTTTCTTAATTTTTCAAATTTCAAGATTGTCGTTTCTTGCATTGTTTCTTTTTTTGAATGTTTAAACCCCGTTTGGCTTTCTTTTCTTGTTAAACGAATATTTGTGTTTTTGTTGTTTTTGGAAGATTTTGGCCTTTCAGATTTGATTATGAGCAACAGGAGGAGACACAAGGGTGAAATTCATTATCAAGAGTTTGAGGGGACAAGATCACACCATAGAAAACCTACTCAAGGTATGTTCTTCTTCCTTTTTCTTTCTTTCTTTCCTTCATTCTTTTTTTCTTAAGAAACGCGTTGCTTCTTTGTGTTTTCTTGGAATATGATTTATTTTCATGATAAAGAAGGTGGCTTCTTATTAGATTTTTGTTTGGAATCCTCTGTTTTTATGTAGTTGCGAAATTGTCTCCTGAGATATTACATAATCAGTTTATGGATTTTATTAGAAGAATAGATTTTGTTAAGATTGGATATTCTAGAAAATTAGGACGAGTTTTTATTTTCTCTCTTTAATTTGTTTTGAATTGGTTAGTATTTTTTTTTTTTTTTGGTGATAATATATTTTTTCTTGTTTTAGCGTTTCGTTTTAGGGATTAGTATATACAATTGATCATTTTGGATGGTGAGACACGTTTTTTTATAAGGGTTACAATTTGTTTTATTCGTAGGCCTCGCTTAATTTTAGAGGGGATAGGTAGTTCTTGGTTGAACTTTTCATACTATTTATTGTTTCTACTTATATTTTGGGAGTTGTTTTTTGGTCCTGGTTTCTTGTTTTGCTCTGCTTGTGTAATGTGGTTTGTTGGTATCTGAAAATTTGGTAAGTGAAATTCACAGTTCCTACTTTATCTTTGCTTAGGTGTTACTCATTTTGTTGCTTATTTTCAGATAGAACTAGTTTTGTGTTTGAATCATTATGACTGTACTTTGGCATATGCTTTTTCTTTTTCTGTTACAATTATGTTCAACTAATTTCACAGCTAGTTTAAAGCATTATGGACAAAGTACTGGGAAGTTTGATTTAACTATTTTCTGTTGGTCTGGTTCTCAAAAGTGGAGGATTAAATCTAGAAACATACTGATGATCTCTGTCATACATGGCCGATTAAGAGTCCAATATGGAAAACACTAAACTGTCTTTTTATATTTTATCCTCGAAGTGTGTGCAAATGGTGTAAGAGAGGCACCGGAAGTGAAAAATATGAAAGTGTACAAGGTAGTTGTTTTTGGGTTTTTCTGAGGCATAATTGTTGTTGAACATTGGTGGTATTTTCTATTGCTTTATCTGGTAAATATCTTTTTAATTACCATGCTTTCTATTAATTTATATTTCAGCAAACAAGTATCCGGTTTTTATTACTCTACATTTGCTACTTCATTTAAAAATCATGTTTTTGCCTTTCTTTCTAACAGTAATTCTTTAAGTTGTATATTTGTGATACTTGAGCTTACATTTTACGCTCTTTGTTTCCAGGTAGTTGGCAACCTACGATACCATCATGGGAGAAAAGATTTTGCTATTCAGTTGGTTTGGTTCCATGGCGCAAGCTATTGGAAACCAAAAAGTCTATGTACCTCTATGAGAATGTTGTTCAATGGAATGACTCTGCTGGCGAGGAGGCATTTCACAATGCTAAAAATCGGTTCTGGGCAAAGATTAATGGCCTTCCTTGTGACATATCATTGCCTGATCCTGATATTTATATTGATGAAGTTGATTGGAATTCAAACATTGACCCTGAATTATATTTGGATTTGGAGCGAGAACCCAAATATCCTGATGAGAAAGATAAAGGGGAGGAAGTAGTGATTTTTGGTAGTTCTCTCCTCCCGAATCAGTCATTCTCGTGTATTGGATGGGGCGAAGCTGAAGAGGAGTTGCAAAAGGTAGGTGCTGTAGCTCTGGATTCTAGATACCAATATTGTGTCCGAAATCGCAATAATGAGAACATTTCTCAAGCTAATGGAGCTGTTGTAGATAATGAGTGGGAAAATTGTTGGAATGATTCTTATGAAAGGAAAAATAATCATAATGAGTTGGACAACAGTTATAATAGTTGGAAGAGTGTAGATGATAGAAGTGGTGGAAACTGGGAACCATGGGGTGGAAATACTAGGAAAAGAGAGGGTGCTGGCTGGCACATGTCCAGATATAAGACCACGAGGTTCCACGGAGATGACTACCAAATGGATCGTGGATGGTTGAGGAATGGAAGAGGGAGGAAGAGGGTGAATTACGTATACTGACAATAATTTTTGGAGAAGAGACTCTGCTGTGGCAGGGCTTGTAGGGAACCAGTAACCTAAGGCGGGCGGATTTGGTGAAGAAGGAATTCCACGGAATTGGGTGAATCAAGTTTTGTAAGTGTGAAGTATATAATACAGTAGGTTTGTTTTATTTCCTATTATTTTATTAAATTGTTCATGTGTGAGAACATCTAGTACATAAAATAGGATGGTACCTCATCGGCAAAGTCCTCATAGTATTCGGTTTATAATGCAGTTTTGTAGCTTGCTTGGGAAAGCAAGAGCTTAGTGTTGGGAGAGTGTAGGGATAAAAATATGTCTTGTTAGTTGAAGAATGTTTAATAATCATCTCAATATATGTTATATGATCTTGAAGGCTTTTATAGTAAGTTCAGAAATGGTAAGATTGTTCTGCAAATGAGATGCCTTTTGTTGGTTGTATGAATTCTTTTGACAGGTTGATGATGCAAATACGTTGGGCTGTCCAAACATTCTTTAGTTAATAGAGATTTGATACTTTTTTCTTGAAGTTATAATATAAAGTTGTTTTTGTTTGGTTTCTTTTTGTCTTGTTTGTCTATGCAGGAAGGCAAAGACAAAAGCAAGCTACAGCCATTTAAAATCAGATTACAATTATATTGGGATACCAGTAAAATAATTAACAAAGAAATTAAAATTTAACAGTCATTTTGCCCTTTTATTTGGTTTTTGTAAATATTTTGAAAAAGTTACAATATGATCTTTCTGGTTCGAGAAATACAGTTAGCCCGTAATTGTATTTTTTAAAATAGACCAAGTTTTTCCTATGTTTTGTTTTCGCTATACCACGAGATCTTTCTACTTTTGAACCTTTTTCCTTAAGAGGACGATCAAGTTGTATTTTTCTTCTTAATGAAATAAGAGATCTTTCTACTTTTGAACCTTTTTCCTTAAGAGGACGATCAAGTTGTATTTTTCTTCTTAATGAAATAAGAGATCTTTCTACTTTTGAACCTTTTTCCTTAAGAGGACGATCAAGTTGTATTTTTCTTCTTAATGAAATAATTGGATACCAGTAAAATAATTAACAAAAGAAATTAAAATTTAACAGTTCCATTTTTTGCCCTTTTTATTGGTTTTTGTAAATATTTTGAAAAAAAGTTTACAATATGATCTTTCTGGTTCGAGAAATTTGAGATCTTTCTACTTTTGAACCTTTTTCCTTAAGAGGACGATCAAGTTGTATTTTTCTTCTTAATGAAATAAGAGATCTTTCTACTTTTGAACCTTTTTCCTTAAGAGGACGATCAAGTTGTATTTTTCTTCTTAATGAAATAAGAGATCTTTCTACTTTTGAACCTTTTTCCTTAAGAGGACGATCAAGTTGTATTTTTCTTCTTAATGAAATAAAAGCTCTGTTCGGCAGCAACGTCTGAAGTAGTGTAGTGTTTAGTGTTTTAACAGAGTTAAAAAGCATTATCTTAATTAATTATAGTGTTCGATAATACAATATATATCTAGTATTTCATGAAATGCGCTATCTTCATTAGAGTTTATCGTTTTATAATTTCTTTATGATACCTATACCCGTTATGTATTTTTACATTGTTTCTCATTTTCATACCTTTCAAATAAAACAGCTGACAGCTATTAAAATAGTTAAAGATAATACTTAAAACTAACCGTTACAAGAACAATTAAATTTGCCGACTAGATCCAAAAGTTTTATAATTAATAAAATAAATTTTAATTTCATTAAATTTCTATTTAATATAAACTGCTTTTTATCAATATATTTTTAGTTCTTCCTGTTTAATTTCATTGAATTCATGGATATACATCACATGCATATTTCAAATGTTAAACATGCAAATAAAGATTATATTTGGAGAAAAGACTTGAATAAGTGTATGCATTTTAATTTCCTCTTAACTAATTGTTTTTATAAAAATAATAATAGTTTAGTACCTCTGAACTTGATTTTTTATACCTAATAATTGGTCATCTAGATTACTTATATTAAAATAATTATTTATATCTTATCACATGATGAGTGAAAAGTCTCGAGTTCGAATAATTTGATGAATATTATTCAAAGGGAAGGACTACCGTACTAAACAACACATATTCTTCGAGTCATAAAAAAAAAAAAATTGAGTGTTTAGATATTATTTATGAAATTTTGCATGATATTCACATTTTATATTTTTTAAAAAATTTAATTTATATAATAATTATGTTTAATATTTAAATTATTAAATTTTTGGATCAAATTTAAATTATTAATAAATATATATGTTAATATACATATGCAATGCAAGTGCTATAAAAGAGTAAAAGACTAATAATCTTAAAATTAATTAATTTAAATCAACTATTTAACAATTTTTAATTTAAAAAACTCTGATTTAGTTGTATTATTGAGATTCAAATATTACACACTAATGTATAAGTGTAAATGATATTATAATAGATTCCGATCTCTTTTCTTTCTCAATATTTAAAAAAGAAAAAAAAATTCAAATCTTACGTAAAAAATAACGATAAATAATAATAATAATAATAATAATCTTAAGCGACCATCTATCTCCCGCTTCGTTTGGCTCCCGCACTGCTCTCTACACTGCTTCCTAATCCCTAGCCACGCACTCTTCAAAACTTCCACTTCGCCACCGTACTGCTGAACCACCCAAAGCCTCTCTTGATTCTTATCAGAATAGTTAAAATTTCGAATTTCTAAGCATCATGACAGCAGAAGAAGAAAGTCCGTTACCGGCGGCAACTTTACCAGAAGAATCATCAACTGCAGTAGCTGTCGATAATCAAACCTTAATTCCACAACTCCCTCCAATAATCCCTCCAGTAGTCCAATCATTTATCCCTCCAATTGCTCCAATACCTCCGGTTCCTCCCCCTTCAATCCCTCGCCCATTAGCCCCTCTTCCAATCCGGCCACCTGTGCTTCGGCCGCCAAATGGTGAAGCCAAAATGAGTGACTCAGATTCCGATCACGATGACTCGGGGCCTACTGGAACTGCTCATGGATCAATAGGAGATTATCTAATTTCTGAGGAAAGCAGAGTAGAAAGAGAGCGGCAACAGAAGATGATTCAGGATATGATGATGAGGCGGCGTGCGGCTGCTCTCGCGGTACCTACTAATGATATGGCGGTTAGGACTCGGCTTCGGAGGTTGGGAGAGCCGATAACACTCTTTGGGGAAAGGGAGATGGAGAGAAGGGATAGGTTAAGAATGTTAATGGCCAAACTGGATGCAGAAGGACAATTGGAGAAACTAATGAAAGCTCATGAAGAAGAGGAGGCTGCTACTGCTGGCATACAAGAAGATGAGGATGATATGATTCAGTATCCATTTTATACCGAGGGTTCTAAAGAGCTATTGGATGCTAGAATTGATATTGCTAGATATTCTATTCAGAAAGCTGCATTGCGGCTTCAACGTGCTAGAAGGAAAAGGGATGATCCAGATGAAGATGTAGATGCTGAAATTGATTGGGCTTTGAGGCAGGCTGGGGGTCTGGTTCTTGACTGTAGTGAAATTGGAGATGATCGGCCACTTTCTGGTTGTTCTTTCTCCAGTGATGGAAAACTTCTTGCCACATGGTGATTCTCCCTATTACCTCTGGTTTCTTCCTTATTTTCTTCTTTGCTGTCATTTGTTGCCCATTTTTCTATTTAATAGCTGAATTTTGACTTTTCTGCGTAGATGATATCAAAGCTGCATTTTAGTGTTGTAAGAGATGGAATTTCATTTTGAATTTAAATATTGTATATGATGCCAAAGTCTGAATTTTTTTCTGTGTTAAAGGGATTTCTTTGCTTGTTAAAGTAATGAAAATGTTGATTGGTGACCCATACACTTCATTATTTTGAATTTATAATTTCTGGCTTGCTGTTGTAATTATATTTCTTTATTGGTTCTGCTTTGTAGTGCTTTAAGTGGAGTTGCTAAAATATGGAGCATGCCTCAAGTAAACAAGGTTTCTACCTTGAAAGGACACACGGAGCGTGCAACAGATATTACATTTTCTCCTGTGGAAAACCATGTGGCAACTGCTTCAGCTGATCGAACTGCCAAGTTGTGGAACACTGATGGTTCTGTCCTTCAGACATTTAAGGGCCATCTGGATCGTCTTGCACGCATAGCTTTCCATCCATCAGGGAAGTACTTGGGCACTACAAGCTTTGACAAGACGTGGAGACTATGGGATGTAGATACTGGTGTGGAGTTGCTTCTTCAAGAGGGTCACAGTCGGAGTGTCTATGGGATAGCCTTCCATCATGATGGTTCTTTAGCAGGATCTTGTGGACTGGATGCACTTGCACGTGTTTGGGACCTTCGTACTGGGAGAAGTATTCTGGCTTTGGAAGGTCATGTCAAGCCGGTAAGACTATCTATACATGATCTTTCTCAACTTTGTTCCAAAATCCTTTTTTTTTTTAAATGTTGCTAGAGGAATTATGTGCATGTTTGGTATCCTTTTTTCAGGTTCTTGGTATCAATTTTTCACCCAATGGGTATCATTTGGCCACTGGTGGTGAAGATAATACTTGTCGAATATGGGATTTGAGGAAGAAAAAATCTTTGTATATCATACCGGCTCATGCAAATCTTATATCACAAGTGAAGTTTGAGCCTCAGGAGGGCTACTACCTGGTCACTGCATCTTATGACATGACTGCCAAGGTTTTTTTTTTTTTTTTTTTTTTTTTTTGCATGTTGGTATCACCTCTTTTTCCAGGTCTGGCTATCAATTTTCTCACCGCCAATCGGGCTATCATTCTGGCCACTGTCGGTGAAGATCAATACTTTGTCGAATATCCGGCATTTGAGGAAGAAAAATCTTTCGTCATATCAACTACGTGCTCATCGCCCAACATCCTTATATCACCCAAAGTGAACGTTCTCGAGCCTCAGGAGGGCTGACTCACCTGGTCACCTTGCCATCTTATGATGACTGCCAGGCTTTTCCTCTTTTTTTTTTTTTTTTTTTCTGTTTTCCCTTTCTTCCATATACGGTCAAATGTCTTGCAATTTTCCTAATGTTCATCTATTTGTTCCATGTGTTTACGTGTATCTAATCATGTTTGGTCAGGTCCGAGATTTCCAACCTGTCAAGCACACTCTCATCCAGGGCACTGAAGCAAAAGTACAAATTTCTCCTGGATCGTCTGGTTCAGGTCAACTTTCCTACCCTCCCATCGACATATTGCAATACTGCCCTTCAAGTCTTGCTTACTTTTTCATCCAATTTCTTTTTTGCTGAACCGTGTGTTGTCCTTTTATGTTAAGCTGGAGCTCCTTGTAAAGACCATCCATGAATTTTTTTTTTTTTTTTTTTTTTTTTTTGTTTCCTTTCATTCCATATAGGTCAAATGTCTTGAATTTATGTTCATATTGTTCCATGTTTTACGTGTATTAATCAGGTTTGGTCAGGTCGAGATTTCAAACCTGTCAAGACATTATCAGGGCATGAAGCAAAAGTAACTTCTCTGGATGTTGGTTCAGGTAACTTTCCTAACTCCATGAATAATTGAATATGCCCTTAGTTTGATTATTTTTATCAATTTTCTTTTGCTGAAGTGTTTGTTTTATGTTTAAGTGGAGCTCCTTGTAAAGACCATCATGAAGTGTATGCATTTTCTTGTGAAAATTGACAGGCTCAATTTTTTGGTTTTCTGTCAGTGTATACATTTCCCCTTTTTCTGGTATTTATTGAAAACGAGGTACTTTTAATTTTTATGCAACTGACATTTGGAACTTTGGTGAGTTTGTGTTGTTTCATAATCATGTACTGTCACAATTGTTGTTATTAACTAATAATGGTATATGAACTTATCTCAGAGCTCCTCAATAACCGCTGGTGGTTCTTTTGTTATGTTGGTGGATGCTGAATATGTTGTATGAAATGACTTTTCACTTTCTATACTAAATACTTATAAAAGAACAGGATCATTTTCATTTTCAGCCATGGAGTTATCTTTAATTATAAGCTAGATAACGTTTTTGGAACTTACAAGTTACAACCCCTTCCTATCTCTCTGTTTAATCACTCCAAGTTAGTCTGAAATTACAAAGAATTTTGGTAATGCTGATGTGACAAACTAATATTTATCTTTGTTTATGTCTAACTCTTAAGTACTCTTGTACTTGATGCAATTAATTTATGACAACATTATGATGACTGTATTGCATTGTAATAATTGTTAGACTTTACACTTATGTGGGTAAACAATTAGGACTATAATTTACCCAAAAATATAATTCATGAAGAAATAGGAATGAAAACCAAAAAAGAAAAAAGTCATGATTTCTCTATGCTTGCCTTTTGATTTATTGACAAATTGACTAAATCCTTGATTATGCATATATTGTCACATTGTTTCTTTGTTTCTCAATTGCTGCATTCCCTTCTGATGTTTGTGCCTCGGAAGTTGGGACAAGAAAATGATGGATGTGAACCTTATTTTAGATTTTCCTTGAAAAATTTACTGTTAATTGCTTTATTAGAGTGCGCATGTGGCGCTGCTTATTTCTAATCATTCTGTTGCTTCATTCTGAAATTGTCTTGTACCTCCTTTTTCATTTTTAAAATTAACTTTTATTGTTGCAGATGGGGGCTATATTGCAACTGTATCGCATGATCGAACCATCAAGCTTTGGTCCAGCACTAACAATGAGAAGGAGGCTATGGATGTAGACTAAATTTAAAAAAAACTTTTAGCAGCAGGCACTTGCGTTCTACCTTAACATTAACTGGATACTTTAACTTCAATGGTGATTCAATTGCGACTTAAAGCCGCCCTTTTGATGCCCATTGCATTTACATAACGTATTTGATGTGCAGTTATCTTAAGGTCTCACTCTATGATTAGAAGAGGGAAATGATTTTTGCAGGTATTCTCTGTAGTTTGGCTCCTCATACCGATAAAGCATCTTTAAGTGAGAGTAGTTTCAATTTGGTAAAGTTATCCCTTTCTAATTTTTCTTTCAAAATCTTATTTTGATTGTATTATCTTAAACACCAAAATGCAGTTCCATGCTTTATTCACATCCAGTAAACAGGGGTATCTTGTTCTGTCTCGTTTTGGATTCCATATTTTCATTTAGAACATTACATACATGGATAGTGGAAGCACTAGTTTCTCTTGGTTGAAAAACGTATTGGCTTTTGTAATTTCATGAAGCAACTTCATCATTTTTCATAAATTAAATAATCATAAAAGTGAATTTATATAAAAACGAGTAATTATAACCTTATCATTTTCTCAATTTATGTCTACAATAATAATAATAAAAAAAAAGTTATTTCAATGAATAACACGATCATGTATGCTTAAACCTTTTTTTTTTTTCTTTTTTTTTAAGGGAGAGATTCAAATTTAAATCTATGGCAAGTTGTATATTCACTTAATACTAGGTATTATGGTGTATCCTTCAATTTTTATTGTCACCTGAAAGTTTGATTTCGATCATTGCATCCAAATACATAGACTAAAACAAATTATATCCTATCCTGACAAAGTATCCTTCCCTAAAAAGCCAAAATTACATAACCTGTTAAAACTCAAACTCAAAAGGCATCAGTGCATAGACTGATCAAAATTGCATGTAATTGGTATCTACTGAAAAAGAGTACACATGAACTGACATTTCATATTAGCAAACTAAAATAAACATTGTTTCTCAAGTTCCACCTTCTACTTGTACCAGCCAGCAAGCAAATATCTCAGGAGGAAACAGAAGCAGCATCCAATACCCTGTCAAATGAAGGTAACGTTCATACATATGAACCTTTAAGCATATAAAAACATAAATTGGGAAAGAACCCAATTTGTCACATGAACTTTGACGCACCGGTGAATTGTGTGGCCTTCAATTCGAGTTAATCGAATCCCAGGACTCTTATTAGTCAATTGAGTCCTCATTTGCACACGTGATTGTAATAGACATTCAGTATAACCCACTTCATTGACTTGTAGGGACTTATTTAAGGAAATTGCACGAATATTCTTATTGACTTGGAAGAGAGGAAGAGGTAATTTTCCCACCATTCACATGCAGATGGGGCTCATATACTTTTATTTCATCTAAAAATGGCAATTTTTATTGTGTCTAACAGCTTCATCAAATGCTAGAACTCTATTAAGGTCTCGATTGACTAAAAATAATCAGAGATTCAATTGATCCAAATTGAAGTTAAAGGGCTCAATTGACCAAAATGTCAAAATTCAGGAGGCAAATGGGGTTTTCCCTCTACATACATCCATAGTTTTGCAATAATGCATCAGCAAACATATGATTTTGTAGATAACACAAGGAAATAATAGAATAACCTGTACAATTAATAGAATGCCGCTATATGTTACAAACAAGTTGTACAAGATCAATTAGATTTGGCTCTATGGTGCTAGAGTTACCTCAAGGGCTATGAGATTGGGAGTTTGAACACTAACCACAGCCAAATCAAAGGAAAAAAATAATACCTCAAAGGATCATCACCAAGCTGGGCTAGAACCAGTTTAAATGGATATGTGACTTTTCTATAGGCACACACGAGGAGCATGCCTTGTGCCTGTGAACAGAAGGAAAAAAGGAAGCTAGCAGAGACAGTTTCAAAGGACTTTTATCTCTTTCCCCCGATCTAAAAAGGATTCTAAGCCTCTTTCTATTCTCTTAAATTCATAACTTATCATTCTTCTAATTCATCAGCTCCTTGGACAACAATTTTTTCCTCCCTAATGGCAGCAGAACCCATACTTCCAATAAGAACTGAAATTGAGACAATCCTTTTCATACTCTCTCTCTATGAACTTTTTTCGGGACAAATACCCTGTTTCATTTTATATGTTTTAATGCTTTTCCTAGCCCCAACAACATAACATCAATCTATGCATAAAAAATAGTAAGAGAAAAGTAGAGTGAGAGAGAAGGGGACATGCAAAGCATAAACCAAAAGCAGAAAAGGCAGAAACAAAAGAATACATCACCTGAACAAGAAGAAGATGAGCACAAAGTAAACTTTCTGACTTCCTGCCAAAAATTCTTAAATAAACATTAACAAGGGTTCCATCATTGGTTCCAGTCAACAATCCTGTCTGAGGATCAAATCTGGAAAAAATAGAAGGAAATAAGAAGATAGCCACAAAATGATCCATGTCAAAAGCCCTCTGCAGGTGAAGAATAAAAAAACTACCTTGGCAGGCGATGTCGTGGGCAATGAACAAAGCCAAAAAGCTGAACAAGCAGAACTGCAAATTAGATGGCTTACCAAAAACACAGAAGTTAAAAACTAAAAAATAGAAAAGAGTTATCAGATCAAACCTGGGGAAGTGATAACAGAAAGTTTATAACTTGAGGTAAAAAGAAAATCAGGAGCGTTTCACTGTTGAAAAGAACAAATTCTTTTAGACTTTAGAAAGATAAAGTGGTGCATGAAAACTCAGCATATCAAGTAATTATAGGAAAGACTAATCTAGAAGAATTTCATGATTGACACTGGTTTTCAGATGAGATAATAAGTTTATTACATAAATACAAGTCTCAGATCAAGTATGCTTCAGCTTCAGTATATGACTAGTATTTTCTTATGTAGATTCCAAGTCAAGCATGCATGGAAAAGTAACTTGTTTAATAAAATATCAAAGAATAACAAAATATGGAAGGAAATTTCGGTAAACACACCTAAAATGACCTAAAATCCCAACAACAGCCATAGTCATCCCGGCAAAGTATGTGTAAGTATCTCCAACAAAAACTGAAGAAGGATACCTGAGAGAAACGAGACAATAATTAGAGATTATTTTACCACACAGAAAGAAAATTAACAAGTGTAACAAACAGAATCAAACTTACCAATTGTAAGAAAGCAAAGCCATGGAAGTGGCTAGTAAGGGTTGAACAAGATACAGAGAGAATGCATGAGCCTGCTGGTACTCAGGATCCACAGATGCTCCAATTTGCATTATGTTATGTATCAAAATCTGAAAAATAGATAAAGTTGTCTAAGAGTCCATAACAGGTCAAGTTCCAACTGGTTTACAAGTCTTCACACTTGCTTACAGCAGATGCAATCACAACTGTTTGCCCAACTTCAAGACCATTTATGCCAGCATGGATGTTAATGGAATTTGTGCAAAAAACTGCCAATAGCCCCATATATAGCTTATATATCCATCCTATAAAAAGTAAACAAAAAAAAATGTAAGGAATAGCAACAAACGATACAGAAATACACTAAAGGACTAAATAGAAAAACTCTTCTGGACTCAAAAGTTGAACAATTGTTTTAATTTTCTTGTACAAATAATAACAGAAGTCTCAGCAAAGGAACAAACATCTAAGATCCTATCCTAAAAAGGAAATCCTCCACAGGAAATTTAAGAGCAACAATCTCACTAACTTTGCAACTAGTAGTTTGGTGTGCAAAGCAGGAAATCCTATCCTACACCAGCATTATGGGCCTAACCAAATACTAGGCCAATCAAATATTGCCACCTCAAAACGGTGGCAATTTTTAAGGTGGAGCGAAACCCAAAACTCGAATAAAAAAAAATGGAAAAAATAACAAGAGAGAAAGTGAGGATACAAAAGCTGCCACATTTTTGAGGTGGAAAGATGTGATCAGCCTGGAGTTTAGGCAGATCCATACCAGGCACAGGATTGAATGAGAAAAAAAATACCTAAGTCCAACACCTCAAGCCCAACATATGGGATAAGTGGCTTTGGAATTATGATAGTTGTATGTCCAGCATATGCCATCAACAACGGAAGTGCAGCAATAGTTGGCAGGAGTAATTTTCTGCTCTTAACATGAGTTAGTGTATGTCAGTTCTCATCAGACATTATTCAGAAAAGAAAGCTACTGAGAAACAGTTGAAACGTGCATTAAGGAAAATATTATATAAGGTAGAAAAACTTAGTGGAGAAGTAAACGCTTACACTCTCCAGGGTACATCAAGGACATCATCCACAAATCCAAGTAGAGTCATGAAGCAGATGGATGCTAGTGCTGCATTGTACTCAACAAGCCACTGCATTGTGAAGCTGTTAATACTCTTAACAATCTATTAGTTAAAGCATATGATAATAAATTATGAACACAAGTCTGAATTGTCTAGGACTAGGAGAAAGGCTCTCATGAATCAAGAGTCTGGCATTAATGCAAAGAGGACTCTCACCTAATCCCAGACGACAAATTAGGAGATGTACACCATAAAAGTGAGAAACAAAAGGGAGAACTCAGATGATCAAAGGAGAGAAAAATACTTCGTCAGACTTTATTTTCCCAAGTAAACAAAATCTAATAACAAAGAGTTGGTCTGTGTGTGTTTGTGCGCACTAGTTTTCATACTACTAGCAGGTGTACTGCATGCCCTCAAATGCACTAAAAACAAAATACACTTTAATTTTACAACATAAGCTTAAAACTTACACAACTAAAAGGGGAAAAAAAAAAGACTAGAAGATAAAAGCGTGCAAACAACTCAGATCAGAAATTGCAACTGGAAAAACAGAAGCCATCAAATTTGCAAAAGTCCTCAGATTGACAAAGTAACACTCTTACATTGGAATCTGCTGTGAAGTTAAAATACTGAAATACAATTGCCAACACCAGGAAGACTATCCCAACAACAATACCCAATGACTCAGGCCTGCAAAACATAGGGTAGCATTATTGAGAAATTTTTGATAAAAGAAATCAACGAGTTAAGAAAAATGCCCAAAAAAAGTGATACTTTGTCTTTCTTAGTGACAATACTAATCTTCTAGCTCCATGGTTATCATTAGTTCCAAAATTTCCTGTTAAAGTTTAGAGTTCAAAACCAACTAGTGGTTAACTTGTGCAACAGCAACTATATCCAGTAATGTATCGTTTGAAGAGACATAGACTAGGCAAATGCAAACAGGGGACCAAGAAAACCACAAAAAGAGAATGGACTTCCCAGAGAAAGCAACGATGTATACACAGACATTGTCTCATTGGAACAACCATTAGAAACTTGTTTCCACTGAAATAAATTCAAACAGAACAATATAATCAAAAGCAGATATATAAATTTCACATCAAACACATAGCAGAATTGCATTTACAATTTCTTTTACACTCAAGAATGAGAAATGAAAATTGCTAATGCCTACCTCTTGATTATGATAACACACTAATTCACCAATCCACTCTACAAACTTAATTAAATCCAAATCCAAAACATACCCCAAAACGAAGAAATAAAAGCAAAAAAAATAATAACAATTAACGAAAAAAAAAACTCACACTTTAACATTGCCATGAGGGGTACCCTTCTTGTTAATATCAAAACCAAAAAGATTCCTCCTCAAAACGTATCGAGAAGCCACAGGAATTAACTTAACGGTCAAGAAGAAGCCGGCAAGGCTAAGGGCAGCATTGATTAGGATTGATCTTTGAAGGGCAGGATGAATCTCATAGTGGTAGAAAAGCAAATAAAAGTAAAGGGCCAATGGCAAAATAGAGACCTTGAAAATAAAGCCTGATTTGGGAGATGCAATTGGTGAGTCATTAGTTTCTTGAGGTTTGTGGTCGGCTTTTTTATCTGTTGAAATGGATGTTGCAGTGGTTGTGTTAATTGTAGTAGCAACTCTCTTGCGAGCTCCCATGCTTCCCTCGGAGTCGGAGTTCTCTCGCTGTTCCTCAGATGAGTTAATTAATTTTCTGTAAATACCATCAAAGAAGAAGAAGAAGCTTTCCACGAGTGTGTCACTCAAGCTAATGAAATCTTGCCATATCAGCAATTAATATGAAACAAAGGGCCCACTATACATTTGCCACTTTAATGAGCGATGCAATTGCAAATAAGTCCGGCTGCTTCTAAATTCTTTTAGAGGCAAATTACTATAAAGTTCCCGACTGAGATTTAATACTTGCTGTATTGTTTGGAAAGATTTAAGACTATCAAAACGGGATCGCGTGAAGGATTCAATTCGAATTCGCTTAACACACATAATTAAGTGTTAAATTTGTCAACACAAATACTACAGATGTAATCCGACTTAATATTATAAGCAAGTTAGGTTAGGTGTAACTGCTTAATATTATAAGAGACTGATCCGTATAATCAGTCAAATATCATAAATAGATTGAGTCTTGTTAATCTATATACCACTTGCTTGTGATTATTTTAAATTTTAATTTATTTAACTCAAATTATATTTAAAAATAAATTTTCATAAATAAAACACATAAATTCTTCAAGATTTATAATTAAAACAAAAAAAAATATATATCTTTTTATCCTTAAATAAATAGATCACTCGTCTAATTCTAGTAATATATTTATGTCATAAACTAGATAACCTATTTTAATCGGCATATCAACCCATGATACAAACTCATTAAACTCCAATCTTTACCTATTCATTTGACGCGTTAAATATGATTTCATTTTCAAACTCCTAAAAAAATTATTACAAAATCACATGTCAACACAAAAATTATTACTAGTATTTCACGGTTAATATATTTTAATATACTATTACTATCTAATCTCTCACATTAACTGTTGAATTACTATTTAATTCTTTAATTAACGGCAAAAATTTAATAATTTAATAGAACCAAACCTCACTAACTTTATAGTAATTTTTCCGATCAAGAAAATGATAAGCTTTAAGAATTTAGTGGTAATTTGCCCATATTATCCAGAGTTGATTGCATTTGACAAAAAGTCATTGGAGCTCGTCTTGTAAAGGAGCCTGAACTAAATAAAGCATCTATATATATATATATATATACACGGGTGCATTTAGGTTGGATGGATATATGGATATGATTTCTAGCTTACCTTGCTTGAAAGGCAAGGATAATGATATCCATTAACATGAAACAAGCAGACTTACCTTGCTTTAAATTTCTTTTCTTCCAGCTCTCTAAGGTAAGCACTTGACCATTAAACTACTTGCACCCTAGACCTTTTCACTATTTGCGGTTGCTGGTTAACAATTTAATAAGATAAGATTGGACATTCAATATTTACAGAAAACTTTTATGAGCATAGGTATTTCCTGAAGTACCCCATCAAGATCTAATTAAGCATCTCCCAGCCTAATCTCAGAAGTCAGAACTGCAAATGGCATTTCATTTTTTTTTTTCCCATCTGCTTCATGTTTTAAAAATTACTCTACCATCAACCTGCATTACCATGTCGGTACGATCATTTCGACGAACTGTTTCCTGTGGTACGTATGCATCGCTCTGCCTTTACAGGCTGCGAAAAACTATAGCTTGAGTATTAGCCCAATTGGACAATGATCACTTCCATTAACATCAGGCACAATGTACGAGTCATGAACCTTGTCAGCTATTGATTCTGAGACAAGGAAGTAGTCGAGCCGCCAACCTGTTTCAAATTATTATGCAAATGATAAGTCAAAAAAAAAAAAAAAAATAACATTCAAGCCACAATGTACGACTTCAATTGAACCCTTGATTCAGCTATTGATTTACTTGAGACCAAGGAAGTAGTCGAGCGCCAACCTGTTTTCAAATTATTATTGCAAATGATAAGGTCAAAAAAAAAAAAAAAAAAATGTCATAACAGCAATGGTAAACGCTAAGAATGGGAAATAAGAATAGAAAAAGTCATGAAACCTTTATGTGACCAAAAGATGACCACATTGACTTCTGGGATAATTATAGTTGTGAACAGTATATTTGGATGCAAAAACCAAATGAATTACATACTACAAATTCTAGTAATAGTTTTAGGTTCAAAGACTGTTCTTTATATTCTGTTGTTAGGTTCGTAATATTGCCAAAAAAAAAAAAAAAAAAAATGTCATACAGAATGGTAAACGCTAGCAATGGGAATAAGAATAGAAAGTCATGAAACTTTATGACAAAGTGCCACTTGACTTCTGGGATAATTTTATAGTTGTGAAAGAATATTTTGGATGCAAAACACAAATGAATTCATACTACAATTCTTAGAATAGTTTTAGGTTCAAAGACTGTCTTTTATTACTGTTGTTAGGTTCGTAATATTGCCAAAAAACGTAATTCATACCCAAGGATAAATGTCTAACTTGACAGTATCATCTTATTTAATTAAACTAAAATTGCCTTCTATGTTTTACTTAATAGATCTGTAAATTCAATGATAACAATCCAATCCTAACAATGTACTTTTTGACAATATGATCACCCCGATGTCATGTTTTGAATATCAGTTGAACTTAAGAGAACGGAAATAGTCATATATACATTCCAGAGTGATGGAAGCCATGATGGGACAACCCTCAAATTTTGAAAATGCCTAAACATACAGCAAAATAATACCTTTATTGGTTTTGCGCCCGCCATGTCGATAACCCCAGTAAGTATAGCCTATAACATTTGGATGTTGTTTTCTGAAAGTATCCACAAATCCCCTTGACAAAAAGTTTGTCCCAAATGATTGCCTTTCTTCATCTGTAAATCCAGCACTTCTTCTATTTCCCTAGACATTGATAAAATATTAGCAAGCATCTATATTTGGAAGTCTTTCCAGAGATTGTTACAATGAAATCATGGTTAAGCAGTGCATTCACTAGAATATGTCAAGAAAAAATTTTGTTAAAAGCCCAACACCTTTCCATTTCATGCCTTAACCCCATATTCATTTCAAATAATCAGGACCAAACAAATCCATTCCAACTAATCATATTCATCTTACTTTATGCAAAATATGAAAGAGAAGGAAATTCCTAACGGTTTGTATAGAGTATCTTTACATCAGAAGTGAGTTTAAAGTAAGTGCATCTAAAATTTTTCTTATTTCTGAACACATTTTGACATGTTGGAGTTTAAATGACATATCTTGTGCCTGACACTACATAGACCCTTTGAGAGAAATGTCTAAGCATTATAAACAAAAGGGCTCTGATTTGGTTCCTGAAAGTGGCAACTTCATGCAAAATTTCACAAGATATAACTTTGAGCGTGCAGGTGAGTATTTCAATGAGAAATTTGCAGCCATATAAACCTGTTAATGTTACTCCTTTCTGATTCTTTTGCAAACACCAACCATCTTCTTATATGGTGAGGCCGTGTTTACATGCCACAATGCTAATTTCATCATTGTTAGCTCACATTTTATAGTTCTTATTGACAAACTAGATTGACTTATCTACATTATTAAAAGAAAGAAAATCATTCTCCTTTTATTCATTCTACTGTAAGGCACTAGCAATTTGCTATACTCACCCTAACATAAAAGTTAAGTCCTAAAAAAATATACCCTTACATATCCTTTTCCGAGTCAGCAAGTGGATGTAGGAAACCATACAAATAAACAGCAGATAAACAAACCAACATTTTCAGTCAGCCATCAACATTTTCTTAAGTTGAGCATAAACCACCAAAAGGAAAAGAAAAGGAGTCAATTCACATCCCAAATTCACTTTAAAAATAGACTGTTGAAATGGTTATGCAAAATAAAATTGCTAACACCAAAGTTGCTAATGCAAAAATAAATTTCCCTTTCTTCTGACAGTTCCAAATTGCAAAATATGGCAACATGAAATGAGACCCCCTAAATTTTTGGCTCTTGTGTATGTGTATTAAATATCAATCCAAGAACATTAAAAAGCTACATATAAGGCATTGATATTTATATCGCTTACAGCAGGGTTGTAAATATCTATCTCTTGATGTGCACAATTCAAATCTCCAGTCAAAATGACAGGCTTTGACTTTTCCAGCTCCTACATAATGCAGGCAAAGGAACATAAGCAATATATCCCAACTACAGAATCATGTTTACATGAGCTTCTGAAGTTAAAACCAACGATAGTCAATACATCTATTGGAAAAAGATTATGCCGAAATAGAGAAATAAATATCAAACCATTCCAAAAATGAAATAGATAACAAAAAAGATATCAACCAAAAGAAAGTGCAAAATCTTAACAAATTAGAAACATTTTGTGATTACCTGAAATCTATAAGGTTTTAAGATCAAAATGAATCAAGACTAAAATCAAGATTAAAATCATTAAGGCTTTTAAAGTTAAAAATTCACTCCAGAAACCTTACTCTCGTGTAAGGTAATACAACATGGAAAACAAAGAAATTTAATTCTAATAGAAAGCAGAGGGGAAAAAAGTCACTAGCCAACTGCCATAAAGAAGCGAATCAATAGAAGGAAAAGTATGACATTGATGCAAAACTAATGGATAAGAACTTATTAAAGACCACCATGCTCTATCATGCTTACTTTCAAGTAGTTGCTAAGAGACAGATCCCATTCTCCAATTCTGTATGACTACAATTAAAAGCAGAGCCCTTAGAATCGAGAGATCAAGATGATAGAATACATCAGATAAAACAATCCAGTAAAAATAATGTAATACCAACATCTATTACCAGTCTTTTCAATCCATCTCCAGAGTTTGGGACATATGCGCTTATTAAATAGAATGAATCAAACTCTGCTGTCACAAGTCTTCCCTCACTATCATGATCTGGTATGCCTAGACCATAGCTTACTGAAATTGGCTTTATCTGTCACACAAGTAAAATACTACATATCATTTGCTAATTACATTGGGATTACTATATTGGATCACTGATGTGTTTTTTTTTTTCACTTCTTTTCATGATGATGCTCAAAAAAGAAGAGGATACCAAAAGTCCACTTAAAGACAATATTTGCAAACCTTCATTGAATGATGAGAGGGACACAAAAATATTCCCAGTATCCTTTTTCCTCTTCTACTTCTTGCAATTCAAATAATAAGGTACAATATAGTTTATAGAAACGGCAAATTCACAATCAGATGCATTATCAATTCTCACTAATACAATATAAATAAATAGATAAATAATTGATTAATCAAAAATAAAAACATGATCCTAGTATTTATCATGAATGCAAAAACCTTGAAGTTAGGCAACTACAAAAGGCACCATTGTATTGTCCGCGTCATCATTCATCATAATATCCCTAGGAAGAGTTAGAAATAAAGTTGAATTATCTTTGAGCTCATATTTTCATCTATTCTGATATGAATAATGAAAAAAAAAATCTATATCATGAAAGCATCTCATCAGAGACAAAATTCATACTTCACGGTTTTTACAAACATTTTCAGGGATGAGAAGCAAATATTCACTGGAGTAAATAAATGAAAATATCAACCTCGCTAGGGGATTGGCAAGCTTGCTTAGCTCGGTTTAATAGCCAGTTAATATCACTTCAATGTATGGTGGATTAGTAGAGAAGAATTGGGTCAGAATTCCATTAATGAAATAACACAATCCTTAAGGTTATACGATACGATGAGTCTACCAGTAGAACCTGGTCGACTTGTGATTATTCCTTAAGGCCCAAGTGTTTGTTAGCAAGAAGAAACTGTATCTGAACTCAGGGCAAACATTGCCATGTGGAGAAGGAATGTTGTTGTGTTTGATTTGGGATGAAAAATATCTACATTGTGCACCCTAGATCCTATGCAATTACAGGGAAGGAGAGGAAAAGATAAAAAAGACTGATTTCTTCTGAATAAGGATAAGCTACCCGAGAGATAATTGCAGTGCCTGAATAACCAAGTTTGGAACGGCTACATGTCCAGAAGCTACTGTCATACCCATCTATCAGACAGTGCTTGATAGACTCCACATCCTTCTCCTGTTACAAAAATTTAGAAGAGGCAGTTAAGACATCGTCAATTTGTCAAATCAACCCAAGTGGCTAGATATGATTAGGAAGCTTAGTCTAGTACCAGTACCACCAAGGAAAATCTAAGAAAGAAACATTTTCTCCATTCCCCTCCCCAAACAAAAGTAAAAACAATTGAGTAACTATACTTGCCTGCAGTTTGGTTTCTTGGAAGCACAGCACGTCAAAATTTTCTCTTTGGGCAAGTTCAAGGGCAGAAAATCCCTCTGACTTTAATAATGCTCTTAACCCATTGACATTCCAAGACATTAGCTTCACAAACTTTGTGTCCCCAGCGGGAGGCGGGGGCCTCATGGTTCCAGGATTATATGGAATCCAACCTTTCTGCGGCTTCTTGTGGGCAAGAATTGTCCAGGGTTCAGCTGGAGGCATGGTAACTAGATTATCGGTTTTAACATATTCAATGCCAATATCAGAAGATATTTTTCTCCTTGTCCGGGAAGACTTCCCTACTAGCAATATTAACCACATTCCAAAGATTGTGTCAGTTTGCTTATCTTAACTTTGATTAACATTTCCCACGGAAGGTGGCAAAAACAAATAGTTCTCGATGTAAATGATGATAACATACCTGAGACCTCTTCTCTCTTAACTGAATCCTTCTCTTTTATTGTGGACATTTCAGAATCAACTTTGACACTTTCATTCGTGCCAACAGCAACAGATTGTTTCACCCTTCTCTTACTCTGTTTAAAACACAAATCCTCTGAAACAGTATTGAGTTTTTCATCAGATACATTAGTAGCCCCTTTTTGCAATGAAAGTTTTTCCGTACAAGTGGAGGATACGTATTCTTCTACTTCCTGAGAGCTTTCACCTGCATATGTTGAAACATCAAAGTGTAAGAACTTAAGAAATAATAAGGATTGCTATAGCTTGAGAAAATCTTTCTGCATTAAACCACATTCAACTCTCAGAATAATACTAGTTAAAATAAAGAATTATTTGTAATAATTGTTTTAGTTACCATCCAAGTGCTTGCTCACAAAAAACTTTAAAGCAGAGACAAGGTCAGATTTACGACCTTTGGCAGGAGCTCCAATGTTCCTGAAAATTGAAAGTAATCATAAAACATTTAGTATCTTGATGCTTAGAGTTTTGAGGCACCTTTGGTGACAAATGATAGAAATTCATGTTGACTCTAGAGAGCTGATCTATGTAGATAAATTCTCTTTGGTTTAAATATTATAGGCTAATAGAAGGGCAGAAAGTGAATCTATGGTCAACATAGAGCATATAGCTTATCAAATATATATATATATATATGTATATGGCAGGTATCCGTTACATGTGCTTCAAAAGAAAATAATACAGCTGCTTAAGAGCAGATGGTTGAAATGTCAAAAAATAAAAAAGTAAATAAACAAATAAAAGAGAAGAAGAAGAAGCAGAAGATGAAGAAATAATAATTTTTTTTTCTTTTTCCATGCACAAAATTCATGCATATAAAGAAGTATAAAGTGTATATGAAGTATGAATGTTCCTATAATTTTAAGGCATTTATGCAAATCTTTTCAAATACAAAATTCCAGCATAAACACTTTCAGCTCTTTTTTCAAATTTCTAAAACAAAAAATAGTTGAGGGCGAAATCTTCCATGTTAAAGCCTCGAAAATCCTAACCTCTATTCACACGATAATTATAAAACTATGGCATCAGGGAGCAAATAGAAGAAAAAGAATGCAAATCAAAGTATTGGTTTTTATAATTTCCTTCATTTTCTGTGGAACCAGAACAACTATATAGGATTTGTTTTTTTGCCAAAAACAAATTTATAAAACATATATTTCCTCAAACATTTTATGTACCTCAATGTTGTTCTGAGTTCTTGAACTGTCATTGCCTCAATTTTTGAAGGATCATCCTTGATACTTTGAATTCCAACTGATTGAATTTGCGGAGAATTTTCCTAGACATTGATCATAGACCATTCATTATTGCCTTTTAATTACTAAGAACAGAAAAAAAGCATATCAAGATAGAAAAGAACACCAACCTCAGCAACAATGCTTCCACAATTAGGGATTGCTACTTCCAACCCTTTCAGCTTCTTACCCTTCTTGTCCTCAACGATTGGTGATGCGATCTTTGATGAATTTGAAAGGCGTCGTTTGGAACTCATTATGCTCACTCTCAAAGAAACCAATGATTCAATACTCAACTGTCTTGGCCTAGCTGCAAAGCTACAATATTTTCATTTTAGTTACAGTTTTTTTCAATTTCGAAACAAAAAGCTATAACGTAACAATAGAAAATGTTACCAAATGCTCACTGGCATTGCATTCAAAATTTACCTAACACAACTCTCAAGTCTTACAGGTATGCATTTCATTTTATTCAACAAAACTGCAGCCTAAAAAGATTTTGCTAATTCCAAGAAAAAAACGAAATTGAAAAAGATGAATCTTCAATTCCCAATAAGACAACAACCAAAAGTTCTCATTTTTAATAACACTTTCTTGTCCTTAGTTTTCTAGGACACCAAACAGAAATTGAAGGAAAAATAATTCAGAAATGAAAAAAGAAAAAAAGAGAAGGAAAAAGCTCGACAGACAAACAAACCAGGAGAAATTAAGGAAATTCTTGAAACTTAATTGCAACGCCTCCTGATTCATTTATGGAATGACTAACCCACTGACGGCGGCACAATTCAGCAGCACAAAACAGAGAAAAAGAAAGAGCGAGGGAAGCATTAGCAGAACCGCCAGAACTGTGCACTACTATATCTAAAGTAGCTCATTTTTGGAATTTTCAAATAATATATGTAAACAAAGTAAATTAACCATATGTGTAGGTGGCATTATGTAATTTTTCCTTTTTTTTTTTTTTAATTACTTCCTAATTTGTAGAGAATGGATGCAATCATGCAAAGAATTCAAATTTTTAGATTACTACTCTCTTAAATAAATTAGAATTTTAAGAATTGTTATAAACATTATGAAACTCGAGCATCAATATCAAAATAAATATTAATGCTTGAATAATATTGAACCACGCTTAATTTTTTTTAATATATGATATGTGTTACCCCGTTAGGGCACTATGTCATAATTTTTCTCTTTTTTTTTTTTGTTTTTTTTTGTTAAACTGTTCGCTCTATTCAAATATTGTAGTGAGAGATGGTGGATTGCCAAATCATGCAAAGTATTATTTTTAGTTCCTGCAGGCTTACTTACTCTCTCATTTTATAATATAAAAGTTAATAGGAATTTTAGAATGTATAAACATTATAGAAACTTCGTAGCATCAATATCAAAATAAATATTAATGCTTTGGCATAATATTGAACAGCCACGCCTTAATTTTTTTAAATTATATATAGCCTATTATTAGTAGTATTATATACATAATTATCCTATATATATATATATTATATAATTACTAATATATAATATACTATATAAACCATGTTTTCTCGGTAGGTAGGGGTGGTCTGGCCAATTTTGCACTGCTGTGATATAGCAATTCCCCATAGTTTAATTTGTGGCACATAAAATTTTTAACAAATGTCAAAATCAGACATATTTATTTCATTATTCATATTAACCTTATATTTTCACACTTGAATCCTTTATTATTAAAACTTAAATTCGATGACAAATTAATAGATGGGGTTTTTAAATTATGTATAAATCTATGCCTTAATTGTTTTCTATAAATTTTAAAAAGTACGTAATCTTGTCAGTTTTTATTTTTAATTTACCAAATTTTTAAAGGTATTCAATAAATTGTGAAATGTCCTTGAACAACATAATATGTCGGGTCTCTACTACCTCAAAATAGTTCTATCAAATAAATTAATTATAATAAATATAGAAGAAAAAATGATTTTAATTGAAAGTTATTAAAATTAAAATATACATCTTTAAATTTTTATTAATTTGTTCATAGCTCACGACGGTATGTAACTAATAATTTTGTTATTATATTTTTTGTTTTCTTTTTCCCCTCGACTCGTTTCTAAATTCTTACAACTTAATTCGATTTATTCCATTTGAGTTATGAATTAATTCAGTGGATTCAATTTTGTTTAATAGATTAACGCCTTAATATTAATTATTATTGAGATCGGTATATTTATGTTTTAAAATAATGAGAACTTTTAAAAATTTATTATATATAACCATGTTTTCTCTAGGTGGTGTGATATAGAATTCCCATAGTTTAATTGTGGCACATAAAATTTTAAAAATGTCAAAATCAATATTTATTTCATTATTAATTTATCTTGAACTTTAATTATAAAAATAATCGATGAATTAATAGGTTTTTAATTTATGTTATAAATTATGCTTAATTGTTTATATTAATTTTAAAAAACCAATGTAGTTTTATTTTAATAAAATTTAAATTTCAATAAATTGTAAATGCTTGAACAAGCATATATGCATACCTCAAAATTAGTTATCTATAAATTAATTATATAAATATTAGAAAATGATTTTAATGAAAAGTATTAAAATTTAAAAATATACATCTAAATTTTTATTAAATTTGTTCATAGCACGAGTATGTAACTAATATTTTTGTTATATTTTTTGTTTCTTTTTCCTCGACTGTTTTCTAAATTCTTACACTTTTAATTTCGATATTCATTGAGTTGAAATTAATATCATGGATTCAATTTTTTAATAATTAACTAAATTAATAATATGGGTAATATTATTTTAAATAATGAAACTTTTAAATTTATTTTTATAATAATTAATGAAATTAATAATACCACTAATATTATTTTATTTTATAAATTTAATGACTAATTTATTTCTGGATGCTAGTCTATTGGGAAAAACTGATAAATATTATTTAAATCTGGAATTAAAATTCTATTATTACTGGCCTATTAGCTCAGTTGGTTAGAGCGTTGTGCTAATAACGCGAAGGTCGCAGGTTCGAGACCTGCATGGGCCAATTTTTTATTCCTTTGGCATGATGCAATGAAATTTACTTGTCATGAGTCAAAAGACAAATGGAAAAACAAAAAAAAGAAAAACTCATTTATTATAGCTGTTAAGTGCGGTAAGCAAAAATTATTAGTTGTCCGGCAACACTTTACTAATTATTATTATTTTGAACACCAAGTATGCAATTTCATTACAAAATCAAAAAAATAGTAAGCCAATTTAAAATTTTCAATTGACAACAATTGATAATGATATATCATAACTCATGAATGGGGAATGACAGTATCAAATGTCCCCTCACCATGTGTATAAAAGAACAATGGGACGGGCAGGATTTCAAATTACAGCATTGGCAATGAGAAAAAAAGGCATATGAAGAAAAACTATCAAGAAAACAAAACTCAACAGCATGTAATTAGAATGCCACTCTACAGCTCTAACTCTTTGACCTCTCTTTTATCTACTGGAAATGTACATCAGCGCTTGGGTAATGATCGGGAAGAGCCCCATGAAACTGAAACTAAAATGCCCCGACACAGCAGCCTAAGCTACTTCTCTTATTCATTCCTTCCTCAGGACCTCTTTCGCCAACATTTCAAATACTCTATCCTTTCTCAATCTACATAGCAGGAAATATTGATGGCGGTGCTGAGGTGTCTAGGGCTGCTGTGGATGTAATGTCGCTATTATATCGCTAACTGAGTATCTTCCAGGCCAGGAGGAGATTGTGGTGGAACAGCTGAGGGAAAAGAAGCATCATTGCTGAGCTGCAAGACTCTTCTTGCAGTTGCCTGAGATTCTCCATTTTCACCAATCTTTTGTGAAGAAATAGCTCCAGATTTAGCTTTCTTAGAAGTGTTGCTATTCAAGAAATCTGTTAGGTTTGTCTGTGCCATTGCTATGGCATTAACAAATACTCCGGATTCCCTGAGTGCTTGGACAACGGCCTGTGAATAGTAAAATTAAGAAACGATCAAGGAGAATGACGGAAGGGCTAAGCAAACACACACTAAATTAACTAATTTTCTGCTCAAGAGAACCTATTGAAAATTGGGGCAGTTAAACTAACCATGGGAGCATAAATGCGAGTCAAGATACCCTTTCTCATGAGTTTCAGATTCAGTTTATAGTCGGTCCACACCACGCGTTCCTGGTACCTGATGCATTAAGAACCATGCCGCAAGGATTTAAGAAATTGGCATTCATTTCACTGCACCTACAGAGTGCTGAATGCCCTCTGCATTTCTGCAATACTAGTTATAGTAGCATATTTGAAACTATATGCTTTAAAGCTGAAAAAATATTAAGAATGGTTATAACTACCAGCGAAGCATTTCCTCCTCTGTTGCAGTTGAAGCGATTATGAATGCCTGCTCAGTACATAGAAAGGATAGAGTGGTAAGCAAAATGATTCTTTCCATGCAATGTTCTTATTGCGCTAAAATTAGTAAGCTTCCAATATAATTGATGGTAGCCATTAAAATTAAAGAGTTTATCATCAAAAGCAGAAAGGTTTGGGAGAGACAGAATCAGCATGCATAATAACAAAATAGATTTTATTCATTTCCTTTCCCATTTTTTCACATTTTTTCTTTCTAATTCTATTCCATGAGGAATCCACATTAGTAATGTGCCACCTAGTTAGCCTAAATTCCTAGCTAGCAACCAACTGAACAGATATGACAATAATCTGAGATCACACATTTACTAATGCTATTGAACTGAACTAAAAATAATTAACCAAAATTGAAAAACAGCCAAACTTCATACTATTATAGGTTATTAACCCTAATCCTAAAAAGGCATAACTAGAAAAATTGTCATGGATAAATGCAAGGGAAAATAAGAAAAATGGAACGGGTGGATTACAGGAAACTGAACGAGAACCTTTTACAAGAAAAGAGAGGACAATCAACAGAGTAAGAGACAGTATTGTATGAATAAGAACTTACAGCTCTGTCGAATTCCAACATAAAGCATCTTTTAACATCATCTTTAGTAGGCTTGCAACCACACCGATCGCGTCTTGAAGTCAAATCAGAAAATTTAGGGTATGTATAATGCAGAACAGCAGCCTCATCAAATTTGATCTCACTATCAATGTTTACACGGAAAAAAATTTAGGTGTATACCAACTCTCAAATCATAAGTTTGAAAACTGAAAGCTTCTTAAATCATAATAGATTCCTGAAATATGTAGATACTAGATAAAGAAAAATCCAAGAATGAACACGGCCTTTACAGGCACATACTTGCAAGCAATGAAGCATATTTGAGGTGTTATTAGGTAGGACAGGAGTATCCTACCTAATAATTTTCCCACGCAGAGAAACACATCTTTACTTGAAAAAACAGCATATAAATAGTAAAAAGGGAAGCATGCACATAAAACTAATAGGATTTCAAAAACATTGACATACTTTGGAACCTTGATATAGTTATGCCATCTGTGTGCACCATTAGGGCGAAGATGATCCTGAATTCTAGCAGCAGACTTTCCATTTCCATATGTCAGAAAATAGTTTGGATTACCACGAGTTGCCTCTTTATAATTGCCAAAGTATACGTCTTTAGGGAGGTGGTCATAGTTCTTCTTAAACATTGAGACCTATGTAAAACAAGAAAGAAAGAAAGAAATTGGAATTACTGAAAAACAAATTCTCACAGGTGGATATGCGTGCGCACGTGTGTATATATTTTGAGATTGTGTAAAAATTAACATGCCAAAAATATAAATAACAAATTTTATGGGAGTTTAAATAATGTCTGTGTGCAAACCAAACAGGTCTAATGACGAATATTGAAAAACTAGGTCAACTGTGCAAAAAAAAAATTCAAAGATGGTTCATCAAGACTGCCTTTTTTTCAATGGACATTATCTACTTCTATATTTTGTCAAACACAAATATAAGGATTGGAGAAGCTTCAACAGCCATAAAATTGAAACTCAGAAGTTCCAAGGGAAAAAAAAAAAGGGGAAGTCTCCAAACATCAAACTGTATTAGCTATATGTAAATTAAACCAGTAAATGGGGAAAAGAAATTGAAGAGATAATACCTCACTAAAAGGCTCCTTGATATCATCTCGTTCAACACTGCTCTCCTGAAACAAATGATGCCTTCATTAAACAAGAACAACAGAGAAGCCAATGAACATAGAGCAGAATCAGAAGAAACTTTATTGATAACATTTAAAAGGTTAAAGTTATCATCTGCATCTTACAGAAGCAGTTCCACTTACATAATTTGGAAAGATAACCATATCGATATTTCGAGGCACCTCTGAAAGTAATTGTCTCAAAGAATACTCACGGGCTCCAGCAGGATGTATTAGCTCATCAGTATCAAGATGGATAATCCAATCCATGCCAGCCTCCTAAAGTTCAGTAAAACAAATTGATAATACTTTCATCAGGCAATAACAGTAAACAGATGGCTCACTCTGTATATAAGAATTTAAAAACCATACCCTTGCCATGACAATGGCCATTTCCATGTTGAGGGATTGCTTCACAAATAACTCATAATTACATGGTTTGTAAAAGAAGTTTGCCAGCCAGGTCTCATTCCAGATCCGGCTGATTACAAAAAATGAAATACAAAAATAAAATTAGAAAACATTTAATGAAACTGATACAGTAGATAACTTGAACAGAAGAACAAAACATCACATATTCGTCATATAAAAGCATATTGACAAACCTCTATTTTATTCCACAAGAACACATACCACTACCTATGGTAAAACAAATAAACATATTGAATACCAAAAACATACAACCATTATCATCCCAATTAAACTCTATGATTCCAGGGGTTCACCTATATGCTCAACACTGTAACTACTCGATGAATGTGCAATAAACAATTTTTCCCCAGTAATGAACGACAGTTTGCAACCTCTTCCCTTGACAAATATAACCAAGAGGAAACAGTAAGAAAACTGATTAAAATCCTGGACAAGTAGAACCAAGCATCTGATAATTACATCATTCTAACTCAAATGCTTGACAAATATAATCATGGTCAAAGCGTAGCATATGAAAGAATACATCTGTGAGCTGTCCAAAAATTTGTGGCTAAAGACAGTAAGGAACTAATAGTAATATTTCTAATTGAAGTTTTTGAACTTCACCAAAAGACAGAAAGATAGGAGAGAAATCTTCTTAATTACACCACAAGAATTTCCAATTCACCAATATTTAGCATGTCAAGAACAAAGTTGAATTGACATTCTTAAACCTTAGCTTGGTTGAATAGATAACTAATAGAAAAACCCAAACTGCCCAATGCCTGTTCATACACTTTGGCTACTTGTTCGTCAGCAATGACGACATCGTCCCCCAGTACGGCATATTTATCAAAGCGCAAACCTGGGTACACTTGCTCTGCACAATGCCACGCTATAATATCCAAAAAGAAAATTAACTAACCTTCTAGCTTGCTGTTCTTCTAATTCTCTTGTTCTGTATATAACTTTCACCCCCTGAAAGGACATACATAGTCCATGACAACATTAAGTTCACAAGAGCATAAACAGCAAAGCAAAGCAACCAGGGTAGAACATGGAAAAGAAGAAAAGAATAACAAGCAATCAAAATTTTAAAACAATGGGGAACCGAACAGGAGATTAGACTCACCGGAATTGTTTCCAGAACTTTAGATACTTTAGGAGATGCAGCTTTCCCCTCCACGAAAAGGAAGAAGGTTGAAACTCCAATAACCTTGTGATAAAATATCCATGGCAAAGTCTGTTCTAAGCCTGCAGAAGTGCTTGTAATTATAGATATCTGGAATGCAGAAAAATTACAGATGAAAAAAAAGTCATAAAAAGAATCCAAATTCTCATTTTCTAAAAACATAAATGAAAACCAAATTCCAAATAAAGATAAAGATAGAAGATCCAAATCCAAACCCGCAAAACGACCAACAAACCGAAATCTAGGTGTTACATACCATGCACTCCAAAATAAAATAATAATATGCAACACGCCAACCAAAAATCAACAAGAAAAATTCAAAAAACCCATTAACCCAAAACTTACTTTAGGCTTCAGATCGGACCGCAAATCGAACTTCCAGTTCCTATAATAAGGAAACGACGGGTTATGGCTCTGACCCAGAAGATCCTTACAACCGGAATCCTTGGTCCTAGACTTTAAAGAAGAAGAGACACGGGAGGTGACGACAGATTCCATGCCGGGAAACTCACGGTCATCAGGCGACCAGCGAGAAATGGGGTCATTCAACCCTCCACGCCATTGGAGAATGAAAGCGAATGCAGCAAGAGTTAAGGGAAGGACAGTGAGAAGCAATAAGAGACGAGAAGTGAAGGTTTGTTGAGAAGAAGACTGAGAAGAAACAGAGGAGGGTCTTGAACCCGCCATGAGAGATTGTAAGAAGCAAAAAGAGACTGGTGCATATATATAAATTTAATGGAAATGTGAATAAATGTACAGATTTAGAGAGAGAAAGAGGGAGAGAGAAGTTGAAACTGAAAATGGCAGGAAAAACTTGAACGAATGATACAGAGGAGCCGTTTTGTCGTTAGTTATAGTTATTGCCGTCGTTCAGGTGGGTGTTTTTTTTCTAAAAAAAAAAAAAAACACTATATATAAAAATTATAATGGTACACTTCAACAAAGCAAATAAAAAAGATTATCATAATTAAATAAATTTAATCACCAAAATTTTTTTAGTAAAATATACTTGATTTCCTAAATTATATAATTAACTTTTTCTTATCCCTTTAGTTTTAAGAAAAATTACTATAATATCCCTAATTTTACTTAAATTTATTATTGAATCTTTCTTTTTAAAAAAATCAATATTCCATCATTAATTGTATGAATTTTTTCATAAAATATGTGCACTTTTTAGACGAGAAGTGCTTATTTAGGATGAAGAATCCGATACAGATAATAAACTTAAGTAAAAGTTAAAATGTCATAGTAATTTTTTGAAAATAAAAATAAAAATATTAGTTAAGACATAATTTAAGAATTTAAATATATTTTCTTATTAAATTTTAATATTTTTATTTGAACTTCTCAATTTAATTAATATATTTTTACTTATTTCTATTTAATCTAATTGAATTCCTATGAATAGCATATACATATTTGGCATCTCATTAAAGCGCTAACCACTAACCATATAATTTATTGTGTCAAATTAATTAGATAAATTATTATTTTAATATATTATAATGATTATATTTTCTCTTAATTATTATATTATTACTATTTTAATATATATAAATAATTATATGTAATATTTTCATTTATAGAAATTTGTTGATATGGAAATATATACGTATGCAACAACATACATTCCATATATATACATGGTTGATGATTGATATTTACATGTTTTATTTTTTATTTTTTTTTAATATAATGACAAAAAGATGTCACGGGTCAATTTTTTAATTACACATTGATCTGGGGTAATAAATATTACCATTTAGTTAATCTTTTGAGATTTTTTATGCTTATTTTGTTATCTAAAATCTATACTAATTGTTTTCCTTAACAAAAAATACCAATTAATTAAAATATGGAATTTTTTTAAATGAATAACAGATTGAATTATTAAAATATGTTTAATGAGCATTAATTATAAATCAGAAAATTAGGCAAGTTCTTCCCAAAAAATAAAAGAAAATTAGGCATGTAAATATGGATATAGATGGAATGAAAATGACTTCAATATCTAACTTGTATATAAATTATTTTTTAAATATAACATTTTCCGGCTTAAAAAAAAAAAAATCTTACCATTACATACCCTCGGTAGTGAAAAAAAAAAAAAAAATCTAATATATTATAAATTATATTTTCCTTTATTATATTTTATATACTAATTTTAATATATATAAATTTATTTATATTAATATTTTCATTTATAGAAATTTGTTTGATATGAAAATTAAGATTACTATTGCAAAACAACTTACGTATTCATATATTATACATGGGTTTGCGATGACATTGATTATTTACATGTTTTTATTTTTATTTTTTTTTTTATATATAAATGACAAAAAAGAATGTTCACGGGTTTCAATTTTTTAATTTAACCATTGATCTGGAGGTTAAATAAAGTTTTACCATTTTAGTTAATCATTTTTGAGGAATTCTTTTGTTATCTTAAAATCATTATCTAATTTGTTTTCCCTTAACAAAAAAATTACCAATTAATTAAAATAAGTAATAAATTATAACAGATTGAATTATTAAAATATTGTTTAATGGCCTTTTTGAAAGCAGGAATAGGTTTTGATTTAATTTATAAGATCCCTATAGATATATACATTAAGGTCAAAGGTGTGCTTCCCCGGTAAAGAAAATAAAAGAAAATTAAGGCAAAAATGATAAAATATTGGATAGTATGATGACGCGACCTCAAAAATGCCCCTATGACTTCAATAAATCTAAACTTTGGTTCAATGATCATATTATAGAAATTAATTTTTTTAAAGTTAGATCAATAATTAATTCCGAGATTGCTGGTGTCCATTAAAAGATAAAAAAATAATGCTTTTAGGCCATACATTAACCTCGGTTAGTGATCATATATTAGAAAAAACACAACAATAGATATCTTTCCCCAGTTCAGCCTTGACACGCCCTAAAGCCTTTTTTATTAATGTACACGCCTGTGTGGCTTTTTAATAATGTTGAAATTAATTGTTACTATGTTCCAGGTAGGCTTAAATATTACTAGTCCATATCCAAGTGCCCAGAAGTTTGATCTTGAGGTAGAGTTTGTGGTGGAGAACACCCAATTTGAGGAATATAGTAACCCAATCGAAGGGTCTTGTATCAAGGTAACTTTTTTTTTTGTATTTTAAAATTATAAAATTTTTATGACCCAGAAAGTAATCTATCCGCATAGATTTAAACCGGATTCGGCCCATGAGGCAAGGAATGCGGGCCCTTGGTTTTTTTGTTTAATGGGCCGGCTTTATTTTATACTAGACCCAGGCTTTGAGTAGTTATTATCTGTTCTGACAGTTGACTTAGACTCTTTGCCCCATGGTTCGATTACCAAAGTGAAGGAACCTTGGGGCTATTCCATTTAATTAGTGTATTAAGGCTTAGTGATTTCACAGGAAAAGGTTTATAGGCAATAATTGTTTTTTTAGGATACTTTAAGATCACACCAGAAGAGGACACGAAGAAATGACTAAATATTTTACCGTTGTGAAAGAGCCCATGACAATTGTGGAATTAGAGCGTTGATAATAATTAGAGTTATATATTATTCTCTCAAATAATGATTTGAATTCATAAATATAGGGAAAAACCGTATATTCACTAAATTGATTCTTTCAAAATATTTTTTCATCAAAAACGAGGAAGTGGTTCAAATCCCCCTACATTTCCTATCGATTTTGACTCCGGCGTTTTGTCCATCTATCTTTTTTTTGTTTTTTTTTTTATGAATTCAAGTTTATACCATTGAGTATTATTTTTACCTCACTATTTTATCAAACGCTAGTACTGTTATTAAAATTGAAGACAATGGTATAAGTCTCACTCTACTCTTTTAGCGTATTCAATTTTGTTTATGTTTATGAAATATTTTTCTAAAAGATCCTGAATACTAATTACATGATAAATTTAGTTAGTGGTCACTTAAGCTTACGCTTAGCACCTCCTTTCATGATTGTTTCTATAAGCTCTCCCTTTTCTCTGGCCAATTTAATAATAAGTAGATGGCCCAGTATAGTCGCGATGGCTCTTGGGATGAAGTGGGATCACTTGAATCAACTGATACATCCATACTATACTTCAAAACACTCGCTTAATCGGACAATGACCGTTTGACTTTTAATTTGGTTAATATTGGAATTGTGGTGTGAGGCCCCAAAAACTAATGACCAGAATTTTAAACTCTTAAAAATGTGGAATGATGATCTTTCTCTTGAATTTTTGAGCGTAATTACTACCCTATTACACACAAGACTTTATTTCTCTAGGTTGTCAGCTAGGCTTCCGCCTACCCAAATACAATCGGGGTTTACCTGTTTAACTAAAGAAAAAAAAATTTCTTACACCCATCTAGGCTAATAAAATAAGAGCCAAATAATTATATACACCATAAGTAATTGCTTTAGGATTTACTTGTCGCATTTCTCGATTTTCGCCTCTTAGCAAAACTATAAATAGATATAAGATATTGAATTTGTGTACAGATTCTAGTCTTGAGAGAGGTTACCTGATGTATCTGAAAAAAAAAAAAAATAAAGAATCAAAGAGCAACCATTACCTTGAGCTTTTACTACTAACAACTATTAAATAGGATGACATATTTCAATTTTATCTACAGACACCCACAAAACTAGATTTTTTAACTAATTTCACATCTATCGCCTTCGGGTGCTTCTACTCTCGTGTAGGCCATAGTATCTTAACTATTAATTTATGAAGAGACTTTTCGGGAAGGGAATAGCCCATATATTGAGAGGGGGATGCCGCCCAGGATGAGATAAAAGGAAGCGAGTGTATAGTCCGTGGATAGTGTTTGAGAGGTAAGGGAAAGGATGACAAATGCAGGATTGAAATTTCAAATATATCATAAGTTTGGTTAGTCCCACTATTTACTCTTTAATAAAATTTAATTTTCTTATGAACCCACTCGTCGAGCCTGTTCAGACTTCTCTTAAAGTTCGTGACTTTATCAATATATCTCAGAAATGAAAAATTACACCCACCTGGTCTCTATTAAAGACTGTACAACAACCTCACTCTTCCCTGGGGCACACCCAAAAATTTACCAGAATTTAACTTTTTGTGATATTAATCATTTTTGAAATTTAATTGTAGAAAAATTAGGTTAGGCGTTTTATTTATAAAAAAGGTTTAGAAAGAGCATAGATGAATATTTAACTTTTGAGCTTTTAGATGGAACATTAACTTAGAACATACATGCGTGTTGAAATACGCTGCTCAAACATGCTTGCTTAGAAAAACAAGGGTTTGAGGGTTTAATAAACTACTAAAGAAGCTAATATACCTCAGTGTTTGGACTGAGTGCTGGTTGATGAGAGTGGGAAACTGGGGAGGAAGGAGGATTCGAACTAGGTATTCATTAGGCTAACCTTCACTGTGAAGACTCAGACGTTAGAAAATTTTTAGGAGTTGGTCCGAGACAAAATAAACAATTAGAAAATCCCTTTAACAGTGACTAAAAGAGGGGTTCATGACTCAGAGGATGCTGCTCCACGGAAGGGTGGATGATGGGACGACTACATAGTTTATCTACCCATTCATGTCTACCCATTTAAGGATTTAAACACTATATCAGAGTTTTGTTATTACTTTATCATATTTAACTCATATTTTTTTTTATTTAGAAGCATAATATGAAAGGAAATTATATAGGAAAATAGAATAAGACCTATATATGCACTATATAATATGGAAAAAAAATTTAGTATTTGAAAAAAAGATGCTGTGTGGCATGCCCTTATGAACCATAATCTTTTACCTCATATCCACTCTACTTACTGTTTATTGGGAGTCATTTTTTTGTCTGTGCCTTGAAATCTAGACTCCTTCATTATAGTTACACTCTGACTTTTATGCTTCATAATTATGTATGTGTCCATTTATGAATGCCTTTTAAGCTTTCTTCGAACAAAAGCATTTTCCTATCTAATATAAAATAGTGTTGATTTAAAGCATTCATTAAACTTTATGGAACCTTTAAAGCCGTCGGGTTTATCTAATGGGCATTAGGCCCCTTTTTCGCTGCGTTTCAACTTTAAGCGCACTAAATTATTTTTACCTGCTACCCGTTTTTTGCCTATGCCGGAATGCCTTTCGAGATAGTGTTGTTGACTTGATTGTTGAATCATTTTGGTTTTCGTCTACAGGCAGAGAACGCTTCTTAAAAAAAAAAAAAAAAAAAAAAAAAAAAAAAAAAAAAGGGAGCTGTGACATAATCTTTACCATACCTACTTGGATTGCGACGAAAATCCCATAATTATCTATTTACATTGTCACAAGCACTGAAATTAAAAAGAAAAAGATAATGGGATTTATCTAATGGCATTAGCCTCTGCCCTAATTATTTTTACCTCTGAATGGATTATGTCTTGATTTGAATCATTGGTTTTGCAGACAAAACCAAACCGATTTTTCGTTGCCACCTAAAGAGAGTGAGAAAAACAAGAGAAGCAAGAAGATACTGCCATGTCAAATCCATTAAAAATGAATTCCATTTTAATGGATTTGATATCGCAGAGCCTCTTGTTTCTCTTTCTTCTTTCTTCTGCTCTGAATCATAATTAACAATGGTGTCTCAATTCAACTACCTACAAACACATATATATATACTAGCAAAATAATAAATAAGAAATCAATATAATATTCTTAACAATTTGATCAAGCTGACCTTTCTTCTTTCCTTTTTATTTATTTATTTATTTTTGAAAGAAATCAAATCAAATTAAGGTTGTTCTTGATTCTTCCTTCTTTTCGAGTTGTGAGATTCTGTTGCTATATCTCGTTTTCCTAATTAATATTGTAATGTATTATTATAATGTGTTTCCTTTTTTTATTTTAACCAAAATATATTGCTTTGGGATTTTTCACAATAGAAAAATAAATAATAAGAAATTACCATGATATTCTGCTAATTGGAATGATTCGCTATAAACTTGACATATGTGAAATTACTAAGTAGGGTAAACTTAGGAAAATACATAATAATTTATTCAAATAAAATATGAGCAATAACGTGCCTCATCTAATCGAGTATAGTTTAATTAGTCTTTTTATATATTATTCTTACGGGGCAAACAATAAATAAATAAATAAATAAAAAACGTGGGAAGATATTCAAGTTCTGGTAACTTCCAAAATTTGCATGGATGTATACCATCGGCAAAAGGATAAAAAAAAAAAAAAAAAAAAAAAAAAGGAATTAAAAAAAAAAAAAAAAAAAAAAAGAAAGAAAAGAAAAGAAAAGAGCACGCAGTCGGGCTGGCAAAAAAAAAAAAAAAAAAAAAAAAGAAAGAAAGAAAGAAAAGAGCACGCAGTCGGGCTGGCTTAGTCTAATTTCGTATTTTTTTTTAGTATTGGAGGAGAGAGATTTGAACCCCGATCTATTGCTGGATACCCACCACAAGAGTTATTATATAAAAAAACACATTATTAAAGGCTATAAGAGTTTGCTTTCAAAATAAACTTCACATATTCTAATTAAACAAAAACTAAAATAGCTAAATAATACTTCCAAGTTGCTTTTTTTTAACAATATAAATAAAAATATAACTTTGGTGAAAAAAACAGTTTTTGAACAGCAAAACTGACTCTAAATTTATATTGTCTTGCTGTACCCTATGCAAAGGCAGAACAAGACAAGATGTTATGAAAACATGAGCCAATAGAAAACATTGGAAATTTCAAGGACTGAATTGCAGATAAAATGGCAACAGAAAACATCAGCTGGCCTCTGAATAACATTTGAAAAAACCCCCTCGGTCAAAATTTGGTGATTCAAAAGCCAAATCAGACATTCCATGATTCCATGAATAAATTCTAAAACCAATGTTGTTTTTTTAAATAATAATAATAATAGTACAAAGATGGAACTTGCACAACATAGGGAAAATCATCACGATTGGAACTCTAAAAATAAGCATTATTAGTCTAGCCAAGAATCGATTTACTTGATATAACCTGGCTGTGTTAAAAATGAAGGTTAATGTCAAGGCGCGAAAGAATGTAAGGACAAACCAACTTTTGGTATCCTTTTAATTCATGTCTTCTAATTCATCTCTTTAACAGCTTTAGAACATCTCCCACGAGATGCAATGATCCAGTGACAAGAACCTGAAATCCCATATATGATGCTTGGTTAGTACAAGAGTCCCAAAACAATTATTTTCCATACACATAAGAGGAAAACAACAGAAGCAAAACAGCGAGACAAAAGTTTTTCATTTTAGTCTCTTTTGTTTTCTCTCTCTCTCTCTCTTTTTTTTTTTAAGTCGATGAATAGACAGGAGGATATAAAGTTCAAAAATGAAAATTTGAATGTCATTAGAAAAATAAATGTGTAATTCAGCATCAAGCTTTTCTCCAGCCATAGATATACAAAACTAACAATTCAATGACAAATTGGAAATTATTTTCACTGCGTACATTATTTAAGAAATCAAGAAGTCATTCCTAGGAAACAACTTACCTGAAGTCTTAAGGTAGGGTTTTCTCTAACACAATCCCTCAACCATTTTATTGTTGAAGGCAATGAAGAAATGACAGTACTGCAAGTCAAATTTCCATCTGCAGGCTTGCAGTGAGAAGCATCCTTGTAAAGAAATTCATGTGGTGGTAAGTTCTCTGCACCCTCGAACTTGGAGCTTGTGTCAAGTTCAACATTTGGTTCTGCATGTAATAAAAGATTTTCAGTGTTGCTCGTTACTTGATGATGCATCGGCACAGAAAGAATGCTTTTTTATCACTTGTCACTCTGTAATCCCAATGAACAAAATGGAAAAAAAAATGTAGAAATTGTTGAATCGATCTCCACCACAAGCAAGAATGAGCTCTCCATTGACATTAGTCATAAAAAAATATAACGGTTTCATTTAACCAATAGATGACTTGCGACATTCCATTTAGTAGATAAAGTTATGAATGGGAAAGGAGTTTTCTACTATATCTCAAGTCTCAGGACCTCTATGTTGTAAGAGTAATAATACTAGAGCTCCTTCAGCCTTCGAATGTCCCTTCTATTTTTATATTCTCTACTTTTTAATCCTATAAACACAGGAGATGATGATTATGGCCTATTTAGTGAAAATTTCATGCGTTGGTAGTCCATGACTGATGTGTGGACAAAACAGGAAGCCTAGAAGGAATGCTAGCATAAAGAAGTAATCAAAATATGCAAGCCTTTGAGGAAGCCAAAAAACAGTACCTATGCCATGGATTGTCTTCTCCCAAAGCCTCTGTAAGCTGAATTGCCACGACAAATCTCGGCTAGAAATATGTGAAGGAATAGACGAGGTGCCAGAAGTAACCTTGTTGTATGTTGACATGCTTGGGACAAAAATAGCCTTCGAGAAGTAAGTACCTGACAAGGATCATATCAAGTCTTATACATCTTTGAAATCATTAGTAGAAAATAAAGAGAAAAATCTCATGCTGGCTGTTATTCCACAGAAAATAAATTTTCTTCCAGTAGGCCAACCAATTAAATAGGCCCACCATAGGTTGAAGAATCCATGTTTACATCAGTAATATTTCTCCAACAAAAAAAAAAAAAAAAAATCTTACATCAGTAATATTTCTTCCAACAAAAAAAAAAAAAAAAAAAAATCTCACAATATCAGCAGAAAAAATTGTTCTAAGTGAAGTTGTGCAGTTAGGAAGCAAAAAAAAAAAAAAAAAAAATCTCACAATATCAGCAGAAAATTGTTCTAAGTGAAGTTGTTCAGTAGGAAGCACAATTATTAACATAGCCCAGAGTTCTGGCATTTCAGGTAAAATTCATCATATCTCTTTCCACGTACCTTTTATTTATTTTACTTATAAATTCTTGGATAGATGGTTTGAATAGAGATAGACGAATTTTTGTAGAAAATCGGAACAATATTACTAACTCTTGAATAAAGAAAAAATCTTTAAGGCAGCAAATACCTGAAGAAGCACATGTATTGACAAGCCGTGGAAGCAAAACATGAGGATCTCTCACTTCCATGCAATTGAATAAAAGAATCTACAAGTAGTCATAAGCACTGATACATGAGAAGCGAATAAATGGAAATAGAATGAACAATTCAAACAATGATGGGATGAATGCAAGTGACCCAAGAAAGGGCAAGGAACTGCAAGCTTTGCTAACTAAGTCTTACTGACTACAAAGAATGTTACCTTCTTTGATATTTTGTTTGACTCTTGTGTGGTGCACCTTTCATATTGGACATAACTATTTTCGCAAACTTCCTTCTTGCTTTCAACATCAATAGAAGATGATACAAATTTTGGTAATTGCTTTCTTTCTTGAACAGCACTAGAGAACCATTCGGCACAAACCTCCATGCTTTCTGGACTGTGAGCTCCATCCAGGTAGAAAATCAGATCTCCAGAAGAATTTCCAGCTGCTGTTGATGAATTGTAGCACTTTGCGGAAGAATCATATACAACTTGAGCCCTTCCTGAAAGATGTGCTGTTGCAAGACCTCTAAGAAATGCTTCTGGCAAATTAACTCCCTGTTTATCCTGCTATTATATTGCACAAAGTTGACCAGTAAATAAATTAAGGTAAACCAGAAAATGAAAACTGAGGAAGAACAGATACTGCCACCAGTAAACATAGTCTTCTGAGGAGGAAAAAAAAAACCATGCTAATACGAGGAAATGGGTTATGTGACCAAATTGCTCCAACTGGAGGAGAATAAGATATCAAACTCATACCACTCAGACAATACCCAACTATTCATTAATTCATATACGCATAAACATGCAGAAAAAACATAATATCATGTATAAACATAAATGCATATGTGCATATACATTTATGTTCTGTTTCGATTCTTTAATTTGATTTCAAATTTAGAGTCAAATAGTATGTAGTGTAATTGAAATAATACATATGTACAAGGTATTTAAAGATCAATCACTTCTAAACTTCGGCAAGTCTTATGAATTCTTTTTCAGATTAAGATAAATAGATACTAAATAATCCAAACAATTTGTTTCTATTTCCAAATTCAAAGTTCAAATCCAGGAATCCAAACACAACATTAATACGTCTGTACTCTCATCTCATATTGAAACATTGTCCAGTCCATGACAACAAACCAGGAGATAGATTCACATGTGATTTTACTTGAAGAATGATAAATACCAAAGTAGGACTAACATTTTGGGATAACTTTTCCCAGTTTCCTGTCATTTGAAGCCAAGATTTACAAAGGGAAACAGCAAGACCAGCATTAGTGAATTGATGATCACCAGACAAGCTAAGCTTTAACCCCTTCAAATGTCTCTGATCAAGAGGCTGCACTACTTTCAAGGGTACCTGCAATCAGTAAAGGTGGACCAATCAACAAGACCACAGGCAATTCACAAGTCCTTGTGGGTGCATACTCAAGCAAGCATGCCAACTTTTGAAGCTTAATAAACTAATCTTGAAAACATGATAGTTGGAGAGAGAAGCTTGCATATAATATGGGATAATGGAATATAATTAGAAAATATATATGTTTTAAATAAGAAAAAATTCTTTTTAGCACAAAAACCAATTGTCACTCATCTTATTTAGAATTATCCAAGATGAAAATTAGAAAGATGTGGATGTAAAAGGGCTAATGACTGGCTTGTAATGGATATCTTGTTAAGGATAGATACATTAACCAACAATGTAGAATAGGATTCCATGTAATAACAAAGTCAAGAACTAGGATCGCACCCTAATATATTCCTACATTCAAGGCAAGCAAAATTGATATACAAAAATTTTACAGCAACACAGATCAGACATTAAGAACTAGTAATATAGAATAGAAGTGATTACCGCCAATTCATGAGCCCTCTCATTAAGAACGTCCATTGCTTCAGAAGGTTGGGGGACCGTAAAAGCAGGAATTCGAGGCTTCAGGAGCAGGGAAGACATCAATGATCAACCCAATTCAGAAAATACTTGAAAATGAATACTGCCAATTAGAATAATAAAAACAGAAGTATAGCTATAAATAACCTTTATCAATGAAAATCATATTCCTGCTAGTTTTAGCTTCTTGCATGAATTCCATACCTTGAAAATTCCAGCCTTGTGTGAAGCAATCTTTCCTATTGTATCACCTGCAAGACAGTATAGTAACTGTTTATTCTAGGAAATCATTCACCTATTCAAATTATGATGCCCCAAAAACTTGGAAAAACTCGACAAAAATGGATAAATTTTCTTAATTGCAGTTGAGCCCAATTCTAGCAAGTAAAATCCAAAAGTGAGCCACTAACATAATTTGCATCTACAGACAAAAGCAGATAACAGCAAAAAGCAGCAACTAAGCCTTAATCAAAAACTAGTTGGGTGAAAGCAGATAAACTTAAGGGAAATTGATAAGGAAAAGATAAGAGAAAGCTGCATACCCAATGTCTCCGTATGATCCATCCCCAAAGATGTAATGCCACAGACAACAGGCTCTTTAATCTACAATTAGTCAAAAAGGAAAAAAAATTATCATGAACCAAAATTTATAAACCATTGACCTCATTCTCTATTTCATCTCACAATCTTCATTCAAAATAAAGATTTTTCTCTGCTATAACATGTTTACTTGAATTGGCAATGCAGATTAAATAGGCCAATTGTGATAAGCTCCACAACAATCAATATACTCGAATCCAAGAAGGAATCATACCACATTTGTTGAGTCATTCGTTCCTCCAAGACCAACTTCAATTACGGCAACATCTACCTGTAAAAAAAAAATGGAAAACCAGAATGAATAACTCAAACAAAGCACCACAAAATGCTGAGCTAGAGAGAAATAGGTATTACATTAATCAACTCAGAAAATTTTGCATAAATTTAAGAATAAAAATGAAATAGAAATAACGGCAATGAATGATATTGCTACAGTTAAGTATAACATTGATACATTATTTATAATTGCTAACTTGATAAAGATTAATGGACAACTTCTAGAGTCAAAAAAAGGATTATGATAACACAGCACAGATGAATCACTATGGCAACAAAAGGAAAATGTTGAATAAAAATAAAAACAAAATAAAACACTCTTGGAGGGCACATATTGATTGCTGGGCATCTCCAGAGTTTCTAACATAAAGAAGAACCTACTGTGGCAAAAAAAAAAAAAAAGCAAAGGAGATATTTAGAAGACAATTACTACTGTTCAATGTATATTAAGCTAAAGTCAATCCAGAATCATCATATAAACTTCCATCTGCTCTATTATCACATTTCAATAGAAAATATACTAGGTAGCCTTGTCCTACAAATGGGCTAGGTATAGTACGGCTCATGGCATTTTGCAAAATATACAGAGATCTATATCATTGTGAAGTCTTTCCATTTAGTCAAATTGACATGTAAAGAAAAGTTAAGATGCTGGAATAGTCATTACAAGTTATAACTGTTTGAATGTCTCAACTAAAAATGAGGAAATTCATTGCAAGTTAAAAGTGCATCACTAACCTGTTCAGAGACGAATATTTTGAATGCCAGTACTGTGAGAAATTGAAATAGGGGGGGCATTGGCAGGTCCTCATTGGCATGTTCCTGGAAACCAAAATGTTAAGAATTAAGTTGCAGTCGTTTATTGATTGAATAACCATCTAATAACCACTGAGAATCATAGAAGGACAGAATAGTAGCATGTACCTTCAACCGATTCCAACAATCCCAAAAATACAATAAAAATTTATCTTCAGATATTTCCAATCTGCAAAAGCAATTCAAGGTCAGACAAGTAACAAGATACCAACAATCAACATTCAAGTTGACCAAGAAAATGGCTACTATTTTGGACAAGTAATGACTATCCAAACCCAACAGCCAGCCTAAATCTGATTCATATGAATGAAGTAAATGTCCATACATCTAAAATACTATTGTTGCACCACCTTACAGGATGAAGGCCTATAAGTGAAACTAATGAGGTAGAATCCAAACAAGTCAATTTAGCAGCCCAAATCTGTCAAACTAATTCCTGTGGTATGTCGAAATTGGTTTTGACAATTCTATTAAACCCCAAATCTCTGTCTCACTTGACAGCAGAAAGAGTGAACAGAACCATAACAAGTGGCAGATGACTTGATTGTAATATGACAATAGATTACAAAAAGAAGATATCTCTAGTACCTCTCAAAAAAAAAAAAAAAAAATGAAATATGACAATAGAATTACAAAAAAGAAAAGGAATCTCTAGTACCTCTCAAAAAAAAAAAAAAAAATGAGAGAACAAAAAAAAAAAAAAAAAAAAAAAATGAGGAGCATTTGATGATCCGATTATTGTCAAACAGTCAGCTGACATAGCAATTAAAAATTGTAAAGTTGTCTTCAATTTCATCATTTCATCAAAATTTAATCTTCTTGAACTCCAAAATGTAGGAGGACAAGTCCTTAGAGAACTAGTTTTTCCCCTGGGAAAGAGCAGAAGCAGGGAGCTTATCTGCTCAACTGCTTAAGTAATATGCTACATTTATAAATAATGATGACTTCAAAGATTGATAAATGTGATGAATTCAAAGACTAACCCATCTACACGAAATCTTTCTCTCACATCAATTAGGTGAGGGGAAGTAAACAGCCCTGTTCGAAAGCCACATTCTCGTAAAATAGCTTCAGAGAATGTGCATGTTGAACCCTGAAATGCAAGGTCATCAAAGGAAAAACAAACTACGTTAAGGAACAAGTGCAAATAAATATCATTGCCTATTTCAGTATATTTATGACTATATACACCTCAGATCAAATCTGATAGCACAAACTTGGGTACAAGCCGTGAAACATGGATATCAATATTTCTTCCTTTTTTTTCCTTTTTCTTTTTCAGCTCTTGTGAGTGTATTGTGCAGAACATCATATTATTGAACTTTTCTCCCATCAGCTTGCTCATATGCCATTTAACCATGATTCAGAAATGCAATTTTTGGGACACACTACAATAAAAGTCTTTGACCTAAATGCAGAAATAAAGTCCAAATGACATGTCGACAGGAAGTAAATAATAAGTCTCTAGTCTGGCCAATTAATTTTATTATAAATGGAACCGTACCTTCCCTTTTGTTCCAGCAACATGGATAATCCTGAGCCCAGTTATTTGCTCTTCCAGGTCTAGTATCTGCATAGAAACATGCATTGTGTCTTATAATCTTCAGGAAATTTCATTTAGGACAAGAAAGTATAAAATTAGGTAAATAATTTACCAACCTGCTAGGTATTACAAAAAAGAAGCTTCAAAGGGCAAGTTTCTCTTATATAAAAGAAAATAGGTTCATAGTAAAGATGAAAAACAAATGAAGCCCTAGCTTTCCATATACAATGTCAAGCAACAAAAAAAGAAAAAAAGCATAATGATTCAACCAACAGAAAATCGAAGCAGGCAATCGTAATATTATAAAATCTAATGGAACATTGGCGACTTATAGAGACTAAAGATTGCTCTTCCCTCAATTATAAATTCTGTGATTGACAAAAGCACCGGAAGAATGTTGTGATACCTTAAGATACACATGCATCCTGTCTAATTTTCCATATTTTCCACCAATGGATGACTGAATTCCACGTTTTGGACGTGTTATGAGAGAGGAAAGTGCTTCCATGGCAGTTTCATAAGAATTTGAAAGAGGAGGGTCTTGTAAAAAATCTTTGACAGCCACGTTGCTTTCTGTTTCTTCCATGACTTGATAAGACACCTTTTGATACTTGAAACCTGAAATGTTAATCCATCAAATCAAATTAGTTCTAAAAACTCATAACTGAATTTTCAATACCTTGAACCCAGACCAAGTCTACCTCGTTTGATCTTATTTTGTTTCAGATGTCCTCACGTTATAGTATTTCTTGTTTAGTAAATGGTGAAAGTACATAACTTTGACTTTACCTTTCGCCTGAGAATGGAGATTCCTATGTTCAGTCAGATCATGTGTGTCCACATTAGCTGGCTGAAAAGAACAGTTCCATGGTTTTCTGACAGGAAACCTATATTCTCTCTTTTGGAAGTGTGAAACTCTAATTATCCCACACTTCAGATAACTATTTGTATTAACGAACATAGGAAACATCAACCCTGCTACAAAAACAGTTTTCAGTTGGAATTGGAATAATATAATTAATAAATTCAAATGAAACAACTCTGCGTTTAATGAATAGCAAAGAAGATTTCCACTCAAAGAAAAACTGATGTTGCTCTCAAGAAGATATTACTTTCTCCTTTTCTTGTAAAATAATAATTAGTGATTACATAATCTATCACTGAAATGCCGCCCGAGTAAAACAATATGATCCCTGAGCCCTAACCACCAGAGATCACATTAAACAATATGCTTATTAAATCCTTCCTTGCTAAAGAAACTAAATAATACTGATTTCACAATGTCCTTAAGGTCAATTCACTGCATATGTATACTCCTCTTTTGGCAAAATGATCTCTCCACCAATTTGTCAACTTCATGTAAATATATTATTTAATTGAAGCAAAAATAGACTCAACCAAATTAAAGTGTTCTACTTCTAATAGGAATTTCCTAGACAATGTCAAGCCGGGCCAGCTCAATATGTGGAAAAGCATCTGCCACAAACAAATAACACTTTCCATCCTTTCATGCCCAGTTCCTCACAGCAGATAAGCTAAATATAAATTAGAACAAAGAAAAAAATAAAAGCAGAATCATACATAATCAATTCAGCTTCCTCTTTTTCAACACTTGGAATCACAAACAACACCAATATCAGATCACAATTCCTAGCTAATAGAAATAAACACCCCCAAATCTCAAATGTAAGAAAACTGAATTGCACAGTTCTCTCATTTCAATGAACAAGAAAACTAAGTAAAGACACCGTATTAGTTTAGCAAGCTACCAGCCAACAAATTAACAAACACCCAAAGCTTATTTCTCTCATTTTCTCACATTTTCTCACATTTTCTTGGCAACCAAACTAAAAAGCAACCAATAAAACAAGAAAAACATGTATGTACATACATATACATGTAAAAGATAGAGATACTTACAGAGGAAATAGCCATAGTATTAAGCAGTACAGAGCAAGCACTTGTTCCTACGATGTCTCTCAGACCTGTTTCCCAGTTTTGTGGCTGTGACTACGGGCCTTATGTTCTGTCAATATGCACTTGTGAATTTACTATTATTATTTTTTTTATTTTAAGCCTGTAATTTTTACGTTTGACAGCTAAAATAAATGGAAAATCAATGAGATTGAGAGTGTGGTGCACGTGGTAATGATTTAGGGTTTAGTGGGCTCCACACTGTTCAATCCTTTTTTCTTTTACGGTTCATTTAATTAATTTGTTTGGTATATAATCACTTTATAATTTATAAATTAAGTCGATGAATGAGTAAAATTTTTGTTCAAATGATTATTTTTTGGTTGAAAGACATTTTGTTGTATATTAATTTTATATTTGATAATTTTCCCACAAATTGAAAGTAACAGGTTAATCGGGTAAATTTCATATGCGGGTACATGACTCGTATAAGGAGAAATAGTGATTAACTCGTATTATTACATTTTCTTTTCGTTCTGCTTTTTACTCTTCCTAAACTACGTCGTTTTATTTAGCATTAGTAAATCTCGGCCATACATGCATCTCAGCCATCCAAATCAAAACACATAAATTCATTTATTTTTGTTTTATTAACCAAAACCCTAAAGCACCTATGCGGCCGACAGCCGTCTACACCACCCACCTGTAGGTGCAGCCACCACCGTCTCCACTTCCTCTTTCCTTTTTACTCTTTTCTACCGCCTCGAGACAACCTCATAACACCCATATTGGTAGTGGCCATCGCCACAGCATCATAAACTTCCCATCTCCTGCTGTCGCGACCACCACCGTTTTCACCTTACCGACCGCCGGCATCATCTCCTTTCCCTGTCTATTCTGCCGGTCAACTTTATTATCCTTACAACTAGGATCTTATCCAATGGTAAGATATATTCTCATTTGTTCTGAATCGGTTTGATTCTGAGATTACCAGAAGACCTATGCTTGTACAATCTTTACAGAATTTGATTTGGTTTGGCTTACGATGTTTTGCGATGGTATGTACCATACTTATTTTGTAAAAATTTCATGACTATCCATAATGAATCTGAATTGGATTCCCTGCAATATTTATTCTTGACTGATTATGATTGCAGAGTGCTTAATATATTGAGTTTGAAATTTCGATCTCCGTTCTATGAAATCCTGAAATGGTTTATCTCAGAATGTGTTGAAAATTGATGCATGAATACATAATTTGATGTGGATAAAGTTCTTGTTTCCAAATGTTTGAGCTTTGAGTTTTCAGATGATTTTGCATTTAGCGGAAATGGTAACGAAGGATTCATATAGCTGACCCCAACTAGTTTGGGAGCAAAGCTTATGAGACTTTATGCTCTGTCTAATTGATGCCACTGCAACATCGCTTTTTGATTTTTCCTTTAACTAGAAAAAAAAATTCCAGCACAATTACCTGATAGATTAGAGTGGCTGTGAGAAAGGTGACAAAACTTTTTGAGGCTGGGAGGCCGTGCGCAAACACAATATACAGTTGGGTGGGATTGCAATTCTAATGATTGCATTTTGTGCTTTTGCTGAGTTTCTTAGTCTGAATTTAAATGAGCAATCTTTATAAAATTTTAATACTTGGACTTTCAAATTTGCAGCAAAGATAAGTCTGACATACAGTAGTGTACGACCATGCTTCAGTGCAAGAACTCAGTCCATGAAACTCACTACAACATTCTATCTGTAAAAGAAGATGCGAGCTATGAAGAAATCCGAAATGGCTACAGATTAGCACTCCTCAATCATCATCCTGATAAACTGCAAAACAAACATCAAAGCACTGATTCTCAAAATCAGTTGGGCGATAGATTTTTGAAGGTACAAAAGGCTTGGGAAATCCTTGGCAATTCAAGGTCGCGTGCAGTTTATGATAGTGAACTACGAGCTTATAGAAAAGATACAGGAGTTGCAGAAGATGTCAGTTTAGAAGACATGATGATTGAAGATGGTGGTGAAATCTTGGAGCTCTTTTACCAGTGTCGATGTGGTGATTATTTCTTTGTTGATTCATTGGAGTTGGCGGAAATGGGTTATACATTGATAAAGGATGAAAAAAATGTTTCTTTTGAAACAAAAGATGAGTTACCAGCAGCAGTTATTCTTCCTTGTGGTTCTTGTTCTTTACAAGTCCGTCTATTGATTAATATAGGTATTGAGGTTTCAATCAATCACAGTATGTAATATTTCGCAAAATTTTATTTTGCCATTCTTTGCTTGGTTTGCTTAAAAGTATCCATCTTGACCCTGAAATAAAATTTCCAAGGGTAAATTTTTGTTTTAATATCAGTTGCCTGTCGATAGAATATACATCTGTAATTGACTGTTGGAGACTATTTTTGTAAAATCCATGTGCAAACCATGCTATTCATAGTTTAATACAATGACAGATATACAGGGAAGATATTCAGTTATAGAGAGGGCTTGAGTTGTCTTGCTTCAGTTCTTTCTTTTTATGAAAAATAAATCAAACTCAAGATTTATTTTTATTTCTTAATAAATAAATGAAATATGAGCTAGGCTATGCTTGGCTCATCTGAATTTGTACTCTGAACTTTTCAACCAACCTGTTTGGAAATTTTCAAGTGATCTTGTACATAATTTTTTATTAATAACTTGATTTTGAACTTAACTATCGATTCCATTCTAGCTTCTCAAAATCACAAGTACAAAAATATATGTAATAATGTCATCTAGCTTGTATGTCTAATTCTAATATGAGCTCCGATAAGAGGCTCAATATTTCCATCCAAAAAAGAGTTTAGGTCAGGCAATTGGATGCCAGTTTTTACATCTTGTACCATCTTGTAGGGATGAGACACATACCTCCTAGTCTCTGCGTAACACACATCCATAATAGTGTCTTTGATGCTACTTACATCAGATAGTTTTAGCTCCTCTGCAATAACAAGGAGTTTAGCCTTTAATCGGTTAAGGGCCTTTATCTTATTTGCAAACTGGCTCCTTTCACCTGCAAAAGTAAAATAAAATGAAAATAATGAGAACTGGATATGCTGGAATTAAATGAAGACAAAGCATATATAATAAGAAGTGGAATCAGCAGATTTTGGAGTTTCAATATGAAAACCTGATCACTATCCTTTGTTTCCATTCTGCTCTGTTTATAACTAAATCCATGCTAATATATCCTCACTTATATATCTAAATATTAAAAGCAAAAATTTCACTTGCACCATTCTAGCATTTATGAAAAACAAAAAGGAGGTTATTTGTCTCTCTTACAAGTCCTGTAGGAAAAAAAAGGCTAGTTTGTATTGCTCTTCCTGTCTCATTTCAAAAGACAGAATTTATTAATTGAACCTAGCCCTAATTCTCCTTTTCTTTTTATTATGTTCATTGATTTTGATTGTTTCTCAGGAACAAGTTGCGGAAATTTCTTTTCTTTGGTTTGCAAGAGAGTTTTTTAATAACATTAATATATTACATATAGTTAGACTTTTGAAAATTTCTTAACTAGACTAGGTTCATGTGGACCTCTCTCATATGGAGTAGACCTCACCATACATATTGGTCTTAATCTCATATAAGAAAGATTTCATGTATAGTGAGATTCCATTTCACAGGAGGGATGTCCATATGGACCCGGGCTAGACAAAGAACTTTCCTAGACTTTTTTTCTGGGTGTTCTAAAAATGTTTTAGAATTTATAATTTAATATGAAAGTTTTCTTGTAATCTATTTTATAAGTAATGCAGTAACATCCATTTGTGCATATAATGTATACATATCAATTATAGCCATGGTTCAATCCAAGTTACATTCGCACATGAAATCCAAGCTACACCACTATCCTCAATGTAGATAAACAAAGGAACAAACAGAGCAAGATTCTAAAATGTCACTTTTGCTACACAGTCAAAAGCACCTGGAGACATTTCTTCTTCTCCATTGCAGGGTGGGAAACAAGAGAGTGAAAGTAATACAGTGTAATATAACTATACAATGCAGGTACAATTTCACTTCAGGACACAATCACTTGCAAAACAAAAATGCTGCTAGAGGTCTCCACTACTAAATTTCCCATAAACAGCAAAGTAAATTTTCTGGGACTTACCTGAGGACTGGACACTTATGCTGGTGGGAATATGCTGAATACAAACTGTAGGTTCTGCTGAGTTCTTCTCCCCTCTAAGCAATAAGGATGAGATAATTAAATCCTTATCATCGATTTCAATGTCAACAGACGTTCCAAGAAAAAGAGGAACAACATCAACATATGCTGAGATCTCCTGTAACATTTTCAATTTCAGATAAAAAAGTAGTTAGAAGAGACATGATCTCTAAATGATTGGGGTGATATCACCAGAAAATAGATTACAAATTTGAACATGTGTCAAGCTTTGGAATCATGCATTTAGATGTTGCAATTTTTTCCTTCACCATTAAAAAAAAAGGAAAAGGCCAATGCATAAGCAAGTAAGCACACGTCGACTCACTATCCTCATCTTGAATTACCACGAATGTTGCAGATCCTATGAAAGAGAATGGATAAAATAGGACCATGTGCTCAATCATCATAGTTAGTTTCTCATAATTTCACATAAACTTCCTACAAAAATCTGAGGCAGCACCTTTTAATGATGTGATAACTCCATATGTAATATATATCCATCAGACTTAGATTTCGGCAATGTCTGATTCAGTTCGTTTTAGAAATTTTTGAATCATGGAATTGAACATTTCAATTTGAGTTCTCAACCGATGACTCTGTAACTAGGATTATCCTATCTTGGTCTTCCTTATTATATTGTGCATTGATGTTAACACCTGAGTGTGCCTTGAAAGGAAATGCCAAGGTTCAAAGCCAGGAAGGCCGTTGTATCCGTTTTTGTAACCTACTGGCTGCTTGCATGATGACATGGAATTAGCCATTCGCTTGTGCCATCAATTTATTTTCAGAAAGATTACAATGCTACTATATTAGTGGTTTGCTTTAGAGTAAATTTCAAAAGGGACAAAATTTACGGAACCAAAGTTATTGCATGACAACTGAAAATGGCGTCCATATTAGGAACTTGAGGATGAAAAGTGTTCTTTGAAGGAATTACAAGATGTACTTTTAGCCTATGCTTTTGCAAATTTAATTCCATCGAGCAGTTCAGACAGCTTACCTCATAATGGACAGATCCATTTTGAGAATTTATCATGAGATGAATGCCTCTCTCTCCTGAAAGATAGCCATATGCACACTCAAATTCAAACTCAATAGTTGCCAATTGGATACCGCCATACCCAGTCACAGAAGGATGCTTCTCAACAAGCCGGCTTTTGTATCCTAGCTTTTTAGCCCATTTAATATACATATTCAGAAGTTGTTCTGCCCATATCTGAATAGGGAAATTTAAAATAACATGTTAAAACGACAGTAACTAGATGGCAAATCATATAGGTTGTAACAAATCAAGAAATCAAGCTTCATTGATGATGGGCATGCTTTATGCATATTAAACTTAAAGAAAGCAGAAAAGGGAAAGTTGTGCATGATATTGCAGAAAGATAATTTTTGACAGATACTATGTTTAGTTTGAAGCTATAAGAATGGCTCAGGTAGTTCAAACTAAATGGCTTGGTGAAAGGAAGACAAGCCTAAAGCTCTGTGGTGTGAGCAAGACCCAAGAAGCCTAAAGTGGTTGCACTAGCAATAAAAATATTTGCATGCTAATTAAAAAATCCTAGCCTGGAATAACTAATAAATTATAAAACAATATGAAAAATTCTTCAACTATTTGTGAAGAGATACTACATCATATGATCAAAAGGACACTTCCTAGCAATAAATGTTCGCAAGTAAGGACAGCATAAAATGCAACCACAAACAAGTTTTACTGAAGGGACACTCAGTTTTGTTAATTGATACTTGTTTCTGCTGAGAAGGAGGATTAGTAGATCACCTAGTCCTCAAAATTGAAAGCAAATCACATTTTATATCAAAAAGCTTCAAAAAGGCCACCTTTTTTTTTTTTTTCTTAAAGCCAAATTTTGGAGGGGGAAAGAAAAGAGAATCAAACCTCAGAGTTAACGCCATCAGACCCAGCTTTAATAATTACACATGCTCCCTCCTTGTCAAATGGCCCCTTAAGAAGCTTCGCCATCTCATACTGATCCAAGAACTTGTTCACGTCTAAAGATGCATTATATGCTTGATCAAAAAGTTGATAATTGATGCCTTCAACCTCTACCAACTCTGAGATCAGTTTTGCCTCTTCTGCCTATAGAAATACGTACATAGAGTTGTGATATTTACAGTCAACCGAAAGAAGGTCAATAGTTGAAGATCTTGGTGAGTATAACAGTGGTAAAAAAACTTTGCAAAAAATAATCAGTTGAACAAATGTGCAAACTGTATAAAGTACTCCTTGATCCATTTTTCGAAAGCTGAAAAACATGTTAGACAAGCAGATGTCCTACAGCAGATATGCAGCTACATGCGAGCAATGCATCTGAGTTGAGCCTAGCAGCCACAGAACCAGAGCCATGAACTTCATAGCATGGGTTGGTACCTGGCATGATGTTCTCTACTTCAATTGCAGAGGTATAAGAATTTCAAGAACTATTGTAATTGTTCATGATGGCTAGGTGATTGATAGCTTCAGTCCCTGAATCCATGACTCATCCAACTGAGAAGTGGCAAATCTCATTGTTTCCTCCTCCGAAAGAATAAAATTTATCTTTTGATAGAACTTATCAAAACTAATCCGTATAGCGTTTTACCTTATATTTTAGGTCTTTCAGAGCATCAATTGCTTTAGCACTATCAGCAAATCTGCCAAGAATTTCATGAGATTTGACAGGATCCTCCCATAGGTTGCACTCACGCATCATTTCTTCCTGCTTGATCTGTCTTGCTTCCTCAATTTCTAGTGCCGTTGGAGCTGACATTTCAGCACGGAGAACAGCATCTTCAATCTTCTTTTTCAATGAAAAGAAACCTAAATAAGTTCCACAAAATTCCCAATCCAATTACAGACGAACCAAACAGGAGAGTAAGAATCTATTTTACATGTGTATATAGTTTCTTTTATGATCAAATACTCCCCTTTTGACATGAGACAGCTTGCACATTTAACTTGTAAAACAGGAAAAATAATAACAAAATTAGTCACAAATAGCTCGTTTGCAATTTCTATCATCCAAAGTTAAGTAGATGAAAACCTAAAGAGCAAAAGACTAAATGAGAATCAGTGTGAAACAGTTCATACGCCATCCAGAAATTGGCCATCGTCGTTTCAAATTCCAAGTTGAAACTCATTTACAACTTGTAAAATCCCGCAGAAAGAAAATAAAGTGAAGTGCCTATAAACGCATAAAAAGAGCAAAAGAAGACAAACCCAATTGTTTGTAGTCCTTGTTCTCGTCATCCAAAGAATGAGAAGAGCGAAGTCTCGAGAATAACAGGAGCTTACTAGTCTGAAACTTATTGCTATTTATTGAAGAAGAAGATTGCCATTTTAAGCAGAGAGTTGCTGCTCTACTTGCAAATGCAGGTTCTGCCGCCATTTTTCCGTTACCCACAAATGATGGAGAAAGAAAGAAAATGGTCGTTTAAAAATACAACAACCGTTGGTGTGTAGTTGTGTGCTGTGTACGTGGTCCATTCCCCTGGCTGTTTCCAATCTCTATTTGCAAGTGCTTATCCTTAAATTCACACTCTGGTAAATTGCTTTCTAGTCCCTGAAATTGCTCATAATTTTCCTTGGTGACTTTGTTTTTTTTTTTTTTGTCAAATTTGTAAATTCATTCGTTTTGGTTGCAAAAAAAATGGGCCACAAGAACCCATGAAATTAATGAATTTCATAATTATTGTAATTTCACTATTTCCAAAGAGTCAATTCCATCATTTTATATTAATGTTAAAATTAAAACCATATTATTTTTATTTTAAAAGTAACATTCAAATTCATACATTTTATTTTCGATTAAACGATGAATTATAAAATTCTATAAATTTCACGGTGCGAATTTTATATTCTATGAATTTTGTGAAATTTCCGAATTTCATATTTCACCAGCACAAACTATCTCTAAATGATGATTTTCTCTTTCAACTGAATTTTTTTTGGTGATTTCAACATAATGAATCAAAGGAAAATACAAGTAGATGATTTACTCCAGTGTTAAAATTTTTTCTCTGAGTTGGCAAGTTTGTTCAATGGGTTTTAATTTAATGATCAAAAATTCATTTCCTTAATTACCAGACTGTGAATTCAAATCTCAACCTAATTACCACAAAATCCCAAAAATCTGAAAACGCCACACAAAAAATCACAAATATTAGGAGGCCACATTTTTTTTTTTTTTTTTTTTTTTACAATCTCTAGTAATATTTTCACGGTTGCGGAATTCTTATTATTCTTTGAATTTTGTCGAATTTCGAAATTTCATATTTCACCAGGCACAAACTACTCTATCTAAAAGTGATGATTTTCTCTTTCAACTGAATTTTTTTTGGTGATTTCAACATTAATGAATCAAAGGAAAATAACAAATAGTTAAGATGTTACTTCCAGTGGTTTTTAACAATTTTTTCTGTGACGTTGGAAAGTGTTTGTTCAATGGGTTTGATTTAATTGATCAAAAATTCCATTTCCTTAAGATTTACCCCAGACTGTGAATTCAAAAATGCTTCTCAACCTTTAACCACAAAACAATCCCAAAGATCTGAAAACGCCACACAAAAAATCACAAATATTGGAGGCCACATTTTTTTTTTTTTTTTTGTTGTAAGATGAGGAATTAATTCTCTAACTTGTTAATAAGCTCCTGTTCTCCTATGAAGAGCAATGGCGATTCCAGCGGTTCCAAGCTCTCGCTCTTAGAAAATTGCTTACTCTATGTAACGGGCCATTATTTATTACTTTTAGCGATTGTGTTTTTTTGCGTATTGTCAAAAACTTATTACTTAATTTGCTTCTTCATTTTTTTTTTCTTTCAGACCAATTCTGAATTTGTTTTTGAATTGTTTTGATTTGTAAGATTATTTTAGATTCTAGGCTTGATATATAAGTTAAGTAGATTATATAGAGGACAAAGCAAATTATTGGATGCTTCAGTTTAGCCTATAACAGCGTCGCATATCGCTATTGGCTTCGCAGTTTTCATAGGTTTGGGATAATCTCCTCCTTGTTATTCCTTGGTTTCAAATCTACTCCAGTTGAGTTAATGAAAGCTCACTTTTTTTTTTATTCAAAAAAATCAAATAGTTAGAGTTACAATTAATTTGAGAACGTTATATATGTCATAACAAAAAGCAAATTAATTTCCCATTGATCTAAGCAATGCATAAATTGCATTTGATGGATTTTTCCACACCAAATTAATACGAAATTTTGAAGTTTTGAGATCTACTCATAAAAATTATCATCTAATTTCAATAAATGTATATATACAAAGAAACAGATTCCTAGCAATTGGCTATTACTCCAAAAAAAAAAAAATTCTAAAGAATTTTCCCTCCAATAGATTTCATCAACTGTAAACAGCACCCCTTCACCTATTACGACCTACTGACAATTGCACAACTAGGAAAAAGGACAAAACAGAAACACATCTCAGATAAACACCACGGTTCAGCTCCTCACCCATACTGTAAGCTCTAAATTGAAAAACTTTCAGCATTCGCTCCTTCAACTTAACACAGCTTAAAGTTTTTTTTTTTTTTTTTTTTTTGTAGATAGGAATTAAATTTTAACTTGTAATAAGCTCTTGTCTCCTTATGAAGGCAATGGCGATCCAGCGGTTGTCCAAGCTCTCGCTCTAAGAACTTGCTTACTCTATGTAAGGGATTATTTACCTTTTAGCGATTGTGTTTTTTTGGATTGTCAAAAACTTATTAATGCTCTCAATTTTTTTTTTCTTTAGACAATTCTGAATTTGTTTTGATTGTTTTGGATTGTAAGAGTATTTTAGATTCTAGGCTTGATATTAAAGTTAAGTAGATTAAGAGACAAGCAAATATAGATGCTCAAGTGTTAGCTAAAGCGTCCATTCGCTATGCTCAGTTTTCAAGTTTGGGATAATCTCCCTCCTTGTTTTCTTGGTAATACTCCAGTTGAGTTAATGAAATTCATTTTTTTTTTATTTCAAAAAAGAAAATAGTTAGAGTAAATAATGAAAAGTTAATAGATAAACACATAATTCCATTGATCTAGCAAATCAAATTGCATTTGATTGATTTTCTCACACCAATAATAAGAAATTTTAAGTTTGAATCTATCATAAAAATTATCATTAATTTAATAAATGTTATACAAAAATTCTAAAGAATTTATACTCAAAAAAAAAAAAAAATTCTAAAGAATTTTTCCAATAGATTATAACGGTAACAGAACTTACTATAGATACTGAAATTGAAATAGAAAAAGAAAACAGAAAACATTTCAGATAAAACCAGGTTAAGTACCTACCATAATGTAAGCTTAAATTGCAAAATTTAGCATCTTCTAACTAAACATAAGAGATTTTTTCACCAAAATATTTTAGATACTGAAATTTCATATCTTTTTCAAATTTAAACTGGACTTCCATAGATAAAATTGACATCTTTTGCCAGCAAAATTTTCTTTTGACACAAAGGCAGAGAAATGAAAAGAGGGATAAAAATGAATTTACATCTTCTATTCATCCTAACCTCACCACAGGATATAGTCTAATCACAAGGACTCCGCAAATTGAAGCGCTTGCAAATCAAGCTCTTGTCTCATGATGCAGTTCATCAACCAATCACTGCTGAATGTCTGTATTCCTTTCTTTGCAGCCGATAATGCTTCTTCCATGTCTTCTTCACAAGCAACAAAGATTGTGTTTGATGCTTCATTCACTTTGTCTAGACCAGAAATAACCTGTGTTTTTAGGTGAACAATGATTAGAATATGTACATAAAGGATGTTAATTAAGAAACAAGATCCATTAATAGAAAATTTGTTACAGATTCCCTTCAAACAAAACGTTGATAAAGCGATACTGTTCTGAGTAAATTCCTATTTATATCCATGATGTATATAGTAATTAGCACTAGTTCTTTTGAAAGTATTATTTTTAGCCCTGCCAAAATTTTCAATGACCCAACACTTTAGTCATTGTAGAATTATATTTTTTTTGCTACACTTTAGTCCTTAATATTTTAGCTTATAGAACACTTTTTTTTTATCCCTAAAATCTTAAAATATAACATACAGTAGTATCTATATTCCGTTAAATTTAATGGTTTTTGACTTTGCATAAAAATCAAGAAAATAATTAAACCAGCCTTAATTCTAGAAAAAAAATAAGGGTTCTTGAGTAAATTACCTTTTAATTAATACTCATAATTGAGACAAAATTCAATAAAGATATCTAAATAAGAGTGAAGTTAAAATAAAATAATTAATACTATCCTGATTTCTTAAAAATGACATCTAAATGAAAAATAAAAAATAAAAACTTTCAAATTCAACAGAACGGAGGAAGTACGAAATAGGCTGTTAAAAGTCAAGCCGAGCAAACCGATGCTCTATTTGGAATTTGAACAATAAAATAATACAGCTAATCCACTAGGACTGTTAAAAAAGTCCCCAAGTCCCAACCGCTAATAGAAATTATAAACAGTAAACTGCTAATCTGGGTTGCTCAATTTGACTTGGAACGGCCCTACTATAAAATACTTTAGTCCCTCAAAATACTGCACTTTTCACTGAAGTTAGTTTAAAGGCTAAAAGTTTTAATCTTAAAATAGCAAGGGCCAAAGTGCAGTGTTGCAAAACTCTCTTGTAGTAATTTACCCTGTTGTTTTTTAAGTTCACATTGTGGTATGGAATTTGTAATAAAAAATCTAAAACTGGCTATTAGTTTTAACTTACATGCTGTATTTTGTTATATATTTTTAGAATACTAGTTTGGAGCTGAGATGGGAATTCTGTCTCTGTGAGAGCTGAGGAACCAAAACAAACTTATTCAAAAAGCTAAGGAAGGAAACATTTTCCATTCACTGCATTTTGGTTTCTCGGATTAAGACTTAAGTCATGAAAATTGGAACAAAGCAAAAAGACAATATGTTCTGCATATTTTATCAATGTAAGAACTTACATTCCCACCAGCAGACCTGACAATGGCAGATAGAGTTTCAACTGGAGGCTGGACATGAGTGGTTATGCATATGTTAGACCCTCTAAGCAGAGCTCTAGGTCTGGCTTTTGCTCTTGAAACTGCATCTTTTAATTCAGTTCTGTACTTGAGCTTGTACTCCTCATCATTCAAGATATAAGGCGATTCATCTGTATATCAGAGAGGTTAAAAAGATATAAAAGTATTTTCATGATGAGTGACTGAGTAGTTGAAAAATTAAGTCATTCGTCTTACTCACCAACAAATTTACCTTCCCGGAAGCTTTCTTTTAACCAACTGGATGAGACTATCCAAGCACTGTTCAAAATTTAAGGGGCCATCACATACATTTTGTCGGTTTTAATGATATGTAACCAAAAATTGAAGTATTTATATGAATCAATAGAAAAGCCAACATATTACACAATTTATTAGTTACTGGAATTTCATAATCTTTGTTTGATATCTAGGTCTCACTAGAGACAACAACATATCAAACAATGGATGAGTACAAGTATGCAACTCTAGCTATAACTGTATTACTAATCAAAGTTCATGGCTTGTTCTTTTAAACTTGAAAGGATTGGCTTAAAATGTGGAGTCAAACCCTTTGAAGCATTTGACCTGATACACTACTCCCATGAAAAGGAAAATAATTCCAACAGGGAAATGCTTAAACCATGAACTCAAAAGAATAAAGTAAATATGAATTTTGACAAACTATGAACTTCGGTTGGAATCACCATTTTCTAGAACAAAAAATAAAAGGAAAAATTATAAACAAAAACAGATTTCTCTTCACATCTCCATGAAATATTCAGATTGCAGGAATACCCAAAAGAAGCATAACATATCTTCTATGCTTTAACATGCAGATGATAATGAATAGCTCAAAACATATTTGGATAGAACATAAGGGCAAAATGGTGGAGCAATTGAAGCAAATTATATACTAAAGCAGCTTACAGGTAGAAGGATTGGATTAAGACTAACCCTGAACAAAGAGCAGTGCAGAAATTCAGTGTTTTCCTGACTTTTCCTGTGACTACATGAGTGCTTACACTTCCATCAGGTGTAACACCACCACCAAGGGTTTCAATTACCTACATAGAAGAGATCAATTCTCAACAGATCCAGACAAATAGAAGTATAATCCATACACTGAAGACCATATCCAAACAAAAGGAGTGGAAATTAAAGCAGAAACACAAATTTCAATTACATTCATAATCCTGCAAAAGGAGATAATGTCCTGTTCTACTTAAACCAACGAAATAAACAACCATGTTAGCTGTCCAACCCAAGCTGTCCTTTGTCTATGCATAGTCAACATTACAAAATTACAGATTTGCATACACAAAGAATACACTGAATCACTAAGTTAGTAAGCCAAAAACAGTTGTTAGTTCCAGTAACTAAACAATATGCAATTATTCAATAGTCATCATTATTTACAAAATTAGTTCTTATTTTCTACTGTTCTGAGAAGCATGTCAGTTTCATATAGTGTAAAAAGCACCAACTTGTGGACATATGATGAACATGAACTAGCATCATCATGAACCACAATATATAAGCTCAGTAAAATTAGAGCCCTTGATTTATCTATGTCTAAGTAGGAAAATCTTAAAACAAAAATATCCTTCAAATTTCAATGTTATGGCATGTACTATAAATTTCTAATAGAGAAGCTTAAAGGAAAAGCAGAAGGAAATTTATGCCAGGTTTTCTTACAATAGTGTGTACAGAAGCTCCTTCCAAGATATAAGTCTGTCAAAACGCAGCAGCTAGTGCAAAGGTTCTAAAAGAGGTATGCCATAGAACCCCTAGTTTGAACTTTGAATACAGGCAATTCCTGAAAAATTGAAGTTCTATTTTCTACTTAATATGAATACATCCACTTGCTTTATTGGCAAATTTCAACAGACCTTTAAGGGAAACGCACTAGAAATTTAAATACAGCAAGCATAATCTTTCTAAACAAGTCCAGTGCAAAAATGGAGTCCATAAAACATTTTCTTTTGTGAGAACCAAATAACGATAGTATCTATCTCTCAAAACGTGTGCATGCTTATGCATACATGCAGCCTATAGCCATCATTATTGTACCCAAATATGAGAAGCAAATCACGGTAAAGAAGTGCCCACCAGAATAAAGCTTTTGAGTTGACACAGTAAGGAAGAACTTTTCATAGAATCATAAAGTAGACAAGAAAATATGCTACATCTGACCTGATTAATACTTCAAAGCATATGTATGGACTAGAATCACAATTTTCAAAGGAAACAGAAAAAAGTAACAAAAAACGAAATAACAAGTATATAAATTGGAGATACCTTTGTAAGATGCAATTTTTTATTGCCATTAGCAATATTCATCAACATGATTCTGGTTTCCCCCTTGGACTGGAGTTCTTTGCTAATTATAGCTTCTGATGCCATATTAATTGATCTACTTTCTTTTGCATTGTTTTCCATGCAATTACCAGTAAAAGGAACTTCAGGTGTAACCCCCACAAAAAGGTTACTTTTTGAAATACCCAAAGAACATCTGTTAATGCAACAATCAATTCTGTCACTTTCTGAATCTATGCCCACAACAGAATCTGTTCCACAATCAGTTTGATGACTTCCCTTCACCTTTTTTGACATCAGTGAAGACAAAGAAGCTTCCCAAGCCCTCTTCTTTGTACCTTGTGTATAACAAGAACAACATTTGACATCAAAATCAATTCCAATCTTTTCCAATTCTGCACCAGTTGTCATCTTGCTGCATTCTTGTCCGTCAAGAGGAGCTAGCTCTTCACAGTTCCGATCCAATGAAAAACCTGCTGAAAACAACCAAAACAATCGAAGCATGTAAAAGCCTAAGAAACCTTGCTTGGATCTAAAATTTTGCATGTAATAGCGGATAAAAATGGACTGCTTTAACAGCATTTAAGTGGGATAATCCTAGACATAGAAATGTCAACAAGATCTGTGAGATCTCAACATATATAGTCCTTCCATTTTCCAGTGTCAATCTAATAGAAAAATCATTCAAAATAATGATTTTATACAAAGTGAATGATGCATCTATACTATGAATCTAACATTAAATTTTTGCAGGAATACAAATTATCAAAATTAAAAATTAATTTATTTTACCTCCTAAATTTGTATCTTCTCCAGGAAATCCATCTGTTATCAGTCCTTCAGGATATGAAATGTTTCTGCAGATTATTTGATTTTCTGAGCTCAAAGTATCGTAGTTCTCCCAAGGCTGAATAGATACATCAGCAACTGATGAAGACTTCTTATGAGGCTTTAGTGGAAAATTGAATGTTAGTGGCTCTGCATAGTGAGCTGAAGTGTCTTCATTAAGATGAGAAACCATGAGGATTGAACCGCCAGGAAAGCATAATGCTCTGCGGATATCAGCCTTAATAGGCAGCCTGCGAACTCTACCTTTGTTGTCAACTTCTGCTATTGATTCAAAACCCTGCATTTGTTAAACTTAAACATTAAAATAAAGCAACACGTTCTTGTGTAAAAGTGGAAAGTACTAACAATTTACATTAGCCTCCAAATTCTGAGCTAGAATGAAATTTGTATAACAGAGAACTTCCTTATAAACCTTTTAAGTGAAGTTGTAACTGATCTGCATTATACTAATTATTTGGCCTTTTACAGAAATACACCTGATATAGCCCGGGAATTGAGACAGTTAAATTTTACTAAAATAGTAAATCAACAAGAAGTTATGATATATTTAGTCCAAATTTTCCATGCATTACCTGTTTAAGCCAAAAACCCTCAGATTCCTTGTCTCCCCAACAATATATAGCACGAACACCAATGTTGCAAAGTCTCTTCTTCAACTCCATGTACAAGAAGCGACCAAAACCCTGGAAGTAACTATGAAACGGCAGTTAAGTTGAGGATTACAACCAAAAAAATACAAGTGCAGCATATAAAGTCCAGCAGCATAAAGCTTCATGAATATGTAGTGAACAAGTACATGTGTATGGGAAAGAAATTAGAAAATCAGGATAACTATGATCAACTCTAACTCTATGTTCAGCCTGATATAAGCACTGTGTAGCAAGCAATAATTTGTTCACAGGTCTTGCATTACGGGAACATCACAAATGACTCCTTGAGGAACAAAGTCATTAATGCAAAAATTTTGTTAGAATATGATATCTTGTCTTTGCATATGAAAAAGGTAATCTGCATTACATTGTATGACAGAGAACCAAGGGAATTGCACTGGACCCCAGAAAAGGCATGAATATTATTCTGTTTTACATAATTCTGGATTTCTGATTAAGTGCATAAGTGCATTAATTTAGTAGAATATTGTCTCATTCCAGATGGTGACAAAAAAAGCAATTTTAAGGATGCTATGAACCAATAGAAGGAATAAAATGGTATGCAATACAAATAGCAAACAGACAATAAACCTTGTGTTGGTAGATTGAGCTAACGGCAGCAAGAGGAATCTCAGCATACTGTGTATCAGCAGGAACTATTTGATATGTAATTACAGCTATAATCTGCATAAACAATGTAAATAACATAAGTATAAAGCGTTTGTTCGAATAACTGATAGAATTTCTTTGCTGGAGTAAATTATGCCTCAATAAAGGTGAACAAATATCATGTGTTTAGCTTGCAGAAAGAAAAAAAAAGAAAAGAAAAGAAACTGTCTGTGAGAAATGGGTGAGGAATAAGACAACAGGAGTGCAATAGCAAAAACCATGTGTGCAACTAATATTCTATAGCAAAGCACCCACTAGTTAAGAGTATGAATTTTTTTCAAAAATTTTTTTGTCATTATAAGTAACAGTATGAAGTTTGCATCTATGTTAACAAGTAAGAAGTTGGATCCAACACATTGTAGAAGCTATATGCACGATGATAAAAATGTTTCAAGGGTATAATACTGCTCTTAATAGCAAGCCATTGAGTGCACTCTATGAGGCTCACATGTTTGTTTCAACTTTTCATTGAATTAAAAAGAAAAATCAATAACCTGGATACATGCTGGAAACTAAACAGGATTAAGATACAAAGCAAGCTTACCTCTCCAGAACCTTCAATAGACTTGGATTCCAAAAGAAGCGAGCAGTACTTCCTAAAAAATTAATGAGAACATGATCACAAGTCTCTCCACCTTAGAAATCAGACCAGCATTAATAAGTAGAATAATAAGCATTGCAGCTGGTGTGCCGCATAGCTTGCAGCAGACATGTTGCTAGTAAACTTAAAGAAGGAACGCAGAGTAAAAATTTAGAAATTCTTGACCCTAAGTGGGAGGTGCAAAAAGTAGATTTTCAGCGAGTAAGGTAGACAAATAAAAAAAATTTACTTGTCCTCACTTCATAGTTGAATTAATAAATATGGAGTAACAAAGAGTACATTGAACCACGAAAACCTCAAATAGAACAGAGATGCAGCCATGAAGCAAGAATAGGGAAACTAAAAGTATTTTATACCCGCTTGAGACACATTTTTCAAGAAACATTGACTGCTTTCCAGTATTTGCAGCATAATTCATCGTAGGTAGTTCTCTTGTGTATATCCTTAAAACCTCCTGTAAAATCCATATATGTCGGACTTAGCAGAAATATAAGTGGCCTAAGGAAGATAGATAAACAAAAACATATATATAATACAATATCAGAAAAGTAGATATGAAAAGTTTGCTAAACAAAAGATCACTAAATCTACATAATACATCAAAATGGACAAAACAATATCCAGAATGTGATAGGATACCTGAAGATAGGATTTGGTACGGCTATTAGAGTCTTTCGAATTTACAAGGACAAACATATAATCATCCCCAAAAGTGGAAGTTCTCCCTGATTCCATTATGTTAAAAAAAATTACCAAAAAAACATATAATTGTTATATTTTATTCTCAAATAATTTCTAATGTACATTAAATGGAAAACTTACCTTCTCCTTCAGGTTTAGATTGCCAAATATCATCAGTGCTTCTTCTGTTGAGCTCTTCCCTCACTGTTCCAAAGAATAAAATTCAATATACTGTGCAACATATCTATACAAGTAAATGAAGAGTACCCAATGAATTGGCATCCATTATCCAATTCCTTTAAATTTTCAAAAATTACACGAATTACACTTTGCTTTGTATATCTACATTTCTATGATAGTTTAACAATTATATGTTTCTGTATGACATTAGATTTCTCAGAGACAGAAATACGCAAGTAATACAGAAATTAAAAAATGGAGACAAACATATATAAAAATACAATTTAGTGCAGTAATGCCTGAAACTTTGATGAATATATGAGGTAAATTAAACAAAGTTTGCCAGAATCAATTAAAATGAAATTTTAAAACTAATCTCAAGTTGTAATAGTTATCAAACTCAGTTTCTTTATCTTTCCTTTATTTTCTCGGCTTTCAAACAAACGAAAAATAAAATCCAGTGAAATTGAACTAAATTCGCTAAAAGGGTACCTGAAATTTTGATTTTTGCACTTTTGGTGACAGAAATTTGGAGGCTGTTCGGTTCCGATTTGCAAGTGAACTTATTCGCATCCACAATGACCTCGCAATTACCTGTAAAAACGAAAACAAGCAAAATAATTAGAGAATGGAGGTATATTGTTGTGTTTTTTAGCGATAAAAAACTATGTTACTTACCGATTGGAATTGGAGAAGAAGAGGATGAATTCTTTTTTGGCGCCATGATTTTCTGTGGCTCTTGGTTTGAGTGTTGGAAGTGAAAAGAGGTAAACGCGAACTTAAATGAAGGGGGAAGAAGGGCGTTCGTGTAATTTAACCAAACGGCAAATTTTGATTTTTGAGTGAATTACATTCATGTTTCGATAAATAATATTTTTTAGCTTTTTAAAATACGCTTTATGAGCGTCATTTTTTTTAATTACGAGCGTCATCAATTTAAAAAATAATAAACATATTTAAATTTATGGAAAATTGTATTGCAAATATATATTATTAAATGAACATAACTACTTTATGATTTTACCAATTAAATATGATGGTTGATTTTTTAATTAGGAGCGAGAATTACGAAGGAACTTGAAACTCATATTCACCGTGGATTGAAAATACAAATTGAACTTTATGAGAGCGAAATATGAATTGAACTTTATGAGATTGAATCTCTTACTACTCCTTGATAGCTCAACGGTAGAATAATCCGCTATTTAACAGACTGGTTGATTTTGATTATTAAGAGTAGGTAAGTATATTTATAAGTAGCTAATCAAGAATTTTAAGTACTAGTATTAACAAATGCATCAAATACAAAATAATTAGAGAATGGAGGTATATTGTTGTGTTTTTTAGCGATAAAAAACTATGTTACTTACCGATTGGAATTGGAGAAGAAGAGGATGAATTCTTTTTTGGCGCCATGATTTTCTGTGGCTCTTGGTTTGAGTGTTGGAAGTGAAAAGAGGTAAACGCGAACTTAAATGAAGGGGGAAGAAGGGCGTTCGTGTAATTTAACCAAACGGCAAATTTTGATTTTTGAGTGAATTACATTCATGTTTCGATAAATAATATTTTTTAGCTTTTTAAAATACGCTTTATGAGCGTCATTTTTTTTAATTACGAGCGTCATCAATTTAAAAAATAATAAACATATTTAAATTTATGGAAAATTGTATTGCAAATATATATTATTAAATGAACATAACTACTTTATGATTTTACCAATTAAATATGATGGTTGATTTTTTAATTAGGAGCGAGAATTACGAAGGAACTTGAAACTCATATTCACCGTGGATTGAAAATACAAATTGAACTTTATGAGAGCGAAATATGAATTGAACTTTATGAGATTGAATCTCTTACTACTCCTTGATAGCTCAACGGTAGAATAATCCGCTATTTAACAGACTGGTTGATTTTGATTATTAAGAGTAGGTAAGTATATTTATAAGTAGCTAATCAAGAATTTTAAGTACTAGTATTAACAAATGCATCAAATATGCGATCATTGATTTTTCCAAAAGGCTACAATTATTCTTCTTGACCACAAGAAATTATATTTTAGATTTTACCTAATCAATTTGACACGACAAAATTAAAACCACACTATAAGAATTTATTATTTATTAATAATCTAAAATTTGATCCTAAACATGTTATGAATTGTTACGCAATTATAATTTATAAATTGAATGGCCATCTTCCATATTTGAGTCAGATAAAATCAAGACCCTTAAATCCAAATATTTGACTGATTGATCGTACGAGGAGTGAGTGATTTAACTATTAATTAATTTCTTCAAAATGTCTTTACAATTGAAAATTTTGTAGGAGAAAATTTCATTGAAATTGAAATAAATTTTACAAATTCATTTTTTCTTTTTATTTTTCATTTTCTTGTTTTCTCCATTTTTCTTATTCATTCCACTCGATAAAAATGAACTAAATTTTACTCTTCACTTATCTCAGTTTTTAATTCTCTGAAATAAGAAACCAATAAAATGTATCCTTCGTACATGCACTTATCATCGCTAAACTAAACCAAGCTTATGGAAACCGGTTAAGATGGATCTTGAATTGCCAGTAAAGATGATCGCAACGACAAAAGCTCACTTCACTGATTTCTTCCAACGCCAGTTTATGGCTGTCAAACTAGATGATGGCTTGAACTTGCAAATTAAAGAGCTATGGAATTATAACGGAAACTGGAGTCATCACTTTAGAACCAAAAATGCCACGGGCTCAAAGTTACATGAATTCAAAAGAGAAAATTAGCTCCACGCTATTACATGCCTTCCAAAAGTGATTGCAAATAAATAGTATAGTTGAAACAGAATTAGACTATCATAAATCTTGCATAAAGCAAAATCAAAAGTAAGCATATCACCTCTTTCTTTTCTTATTTTGCACATCACCTTTGTTGAAGCCTCGCAAATTGTCAGTGGTATCAGCGGCATTTTGCTTCCTCAAACTTTTCCTTCCCCCATAGCCAAATTTGGAGTCCCTTGCTTCCCTTTTCATTTGTTTCTTAGCCACTCTACCTTTGCTTCCCTGCTTTCGGTCTTGTTTTGCTTTTCCTCCAGACCGGTCTCCTGGAGACACCCATGGTCTCTTCTTGTTTGACCTTTCAAATGCCTTTCCATCCTCAAAGGGAAAGTTCATTTCACCACCTTTGTCGCCTCCAGCAAACCCGCTTTGCTGCCGTTGTTTCCTCCACTTCTTAACTGACTCTATCTCCATTTTCTTCTGCATAGCTCTTTCTTTAAGTTTCTGTGCTTGAACCTCTTTAGCTAGTCTCTTGGCTTCTCTAGCCTTCCTTCTCTCCTCAGACTCCTCAATGTTTTTCTTCTCTGCCAGCAGCCGACCCTTCACTTTCTGCATGTGAGCATCTGATTTCACCATCTCAGCATAATAGTCAGGAGGCCTGAGAAAAGGGAGTCCCATTGACTCGAGCTTCTCAAAGGCTTGCCTCGTACCCTCCAATGCCTGTGTGTAGAAAGATAGCTCTCTTGCCAGGTCATCATTCACATCCACCTCTTGCTCTTGATCAATGTCAATGGAAAGCTTGTGTATCCACCCCGCGTTCTCTGGCCAGCTAATATCTTGAAGTTTATCATTGAGACCATCTCTGTTGTATATGGCATTCTTTGAAGGTTCAGACAACTTCCAATCTTCCTCCTCTGATTCGAACTCAGATTCGGATTCTTCTCTATCAGTATCACCCATTTCATCATTTTGAATTGGCTTCTCATTATACAAGGTCGAATCTTCATTTTCTTTCGCCATTTAAAAGAAAACTGTCTCAGTAAGAAAAAAGCAATCCCATTTAGAATGAAAAGTAAATCCAGCAAAGCATGCCAAAAACTAACAGACAAGCCTAAAAGGTCACATAACTACCAACAGCAGTTACCATTCTTCTAAGTTCTAAGAAAATAGAAAAGTACTGAAGCATCTTAGACTAAGCAGACGAATACAACTCTAGAATATATACTTCAAACAAAATTTCATACTCCATAAATTCAACAATCAAGAACAGATTTTCAAGCATATTAATCAATCAGGAATCAATTGTTATGCTATATAATTTAAGAGTCGTTAAAATTGATTCAAAAACTTGAAAACCAGAGCAATTCAACCATGAAAGTTTTACAAATTAATAGTTAATTTGACTTGGTTTTATTGAACTTCCAAATTAAATCCTCAAAATTTTGCAGAATTCCTTTCAGAAAAACAAGGCCTTAAGCATTTTGTATTCCATCAAACAACTTGATAGGCCAGACTAAATCATAATTCTGTAAAGATGTACAATCAGAGGCCTCTCAATACTTTCAAAGAAACAAGCAATGGTTAGCAATCATCTTAAATATGCATTTCGATTTAATTTTTAATGATACTATCATTAACTTAACCTAACCCATAATCATGGACTCATGAGTAAGCTTCTCCTCAAAAAGTTATCCATAATATAGCAGAAAATTTTCAATTCTTTCATAATCAAATATATATCAGAAACTTACTTTAAAATTTCAAAATTTCAAAATTTTATTTCATTCAGAATTGGTAAATTCAGCCCATACAGAGAAGCTTAAGGAATTCACACCCATATCAAGACAAACCAAACTAATCCATTTCCCCTTTTGTTTGGCAACCCAGAAATCAAACTATATAGAATAGTGTCTTTCAATGTTAAGAGAATTATTTTATGTCATTGTTTTCAAATGCTCAAATTAATTGAAATACAATAGTACATCAGGGGGAAAAAATTATTTTTCAAAGATTTTAAAACCTAGTTTGATGATTCGATGGACGAAATAAGAATAAAAACATAATAAGATAAAACTAAAAAAAAAAAAACGAGAATTTAGAATAGAACACAAACAAGAGAAAGGAACTCACATATTTAAGGCTTCAACAAAAATCAGAACGGCTGTTGTGAAGCTCAGTTGCAAAAGGAAATAGCAGCGCCGGTTCTTGAGAAGGAAGCTGGAGGGCTCAAAGAACAGACGAAGAGAGGATTGAACCTCTTCCTTTTGTTTTTCCCCGTTGCTCTTACCAACGGCCAGATAATAGAGAAGACATCTCCTGTACTGAAGCCAGGCTCTAGGGTTTTAACACGCTCTGCGGGTTTTGGATTCCACTATCTAACGGCTGAGGTTAAAGGGATTATGTGAATAAAAATTCTTTTGAAAATGATTATATGAATAAAATTAATTATTAGCATAAACGTAAATTAATTAATGGCAAATTAAATGAATAGTACTATATATTAACAAGACCTACATTTCAAAAAAAAAAAAAAAAAAAAAAAAACGGCCAGATTATTAGAGAGACATTCTCTGTTACTGAGCCAGGCTCTAGGGTTTTAATCCGCTCTGGCGGGTTTTGATTCCATATCTAACGGCTGAGGTTAAAAGAGGATCTATTATTGTGGAATAAAATATATCTTTTGATAAATTAGCATTATATGGCAATAAAAAATTAATTATTAGCATAAAACGTAAAATTAATTGAATGGGCAAGTAAAATTGAGAATATACTATATATTAGAACAAGACCTACATTTCAAAAAAAAAAATAAAAAAAAAAAAAAAAAACTCTTTAATATAATTTCGCAGATATATTTATTTCTGTTTTTTTTTTTTAGACCTGTGAACATATTTTTGGGAAAAAAAGTTTCGATTTAGTGGAGCTTAAATTCGATGCCATAATAATTTTTTTCAATCATTATTAAATTATTTAATTTGTAAATTTACTGGAAAATTATAAGAATAATGCTTCATTAATGGGAGCCGAGTAAAAAAAAAAAAAAAAAAAAAAAAACCTAAATAATTCAATTTTTTTATTTCTGTTTTTTTTTTTTAAGACCTGAACAGATTTTGGGAAAAGTTCCTTTCTAAATTGATGCCTATTTATTTCAATATTATTTAATTATTTAATTTTAAATTTACTGGAAAATTAAGATAATGCTTTCATTATGAGCCGATTTATGAAATTAATATGAAACTAATTTCTCATTAGCAGCTCAGTGATGGAGTCAAAGTGGAAATTACTGTGTTAAACCAATTAACTATATAGATTTTTCGCATTCCAAAATAAAATTATGAATTAAAAGTAAAGATTTCTCCTAAAAAAAAAAAAATATTCAGTAAAACACACATGTAGGTTTGAAATAGTCATTTATCTCGAATCAAATGTAACGATCCTTTTAATTAAAAATAATTAATGCTTTCAACTCGCTAAAAAATATTATATAGGCTTTCGTTTATTTTCGTAAAATAATTTCAGGAATATATTTTTCATAATTTTTCGTTGTTTGGGGTTCAGAAAAATAAGTCAACGGAAAATATTTTTCTAGTCCAAGAAAAATTAAGTCATTTTTAAGGAAAATGATTTTTCATTTTCAAGAGAGTAAAACATTTTCCGGATATCGATAAATCTTATAAATCAATATTTTTTTTAATTTATTAATCACTACCACCAATCACTATTTACCACCTACCATCACCACCGTCCACCGGCGGCTCTCTTAATTTGCATTTTTTTTTTCATTCTTCTCATATTTAACAATAAAATTTCTATTATTATTAATATTTTTTATGGTCTTATTAAATAAAGACTTTAATATTCTTAATTAATTTTCAATATTACAATCAAACAACAGACAAAAAGTCACTTGGAAAATATTTAATATTTTTCAGCAAATTATTTTCTTTCAAGTTATATTATGAAAACAAACGGAGCAATAATTTCTTATTTATTTTCAACTTTCAAATTTAAATAACACAAATGTTCAACTTCCTCCGAAAAATATGTGAATTCAATTTATATTTAATTTATTAAATACGTGAATTCAAAAATTAGAAACGAGTTGTTTTTTTTTTTTTTTTTTAGGGAAGGGATTCAAAGTTTATTTCATTGTCAGGTATATATGTACTTATATTTTAGTTTGAAAAGCAAAACAATTATTTTTTTTTTTTTTTTTTAGTATTAGGGAAGGGATTCAAAGTTTATTTCATTGTCAGGTCATATATGTACTTATATTTTAGTTTGAAAACAAAACGAATTAAGTTAAATACGAGTTAAATATAAATTTAAGATAAAAAAATTATACATAACATAAAAAAATTTAAATAAAACAAATTACATGGAAAAAAAATTATATAATGTGTTTTGTCCTGTATATGTGAGTTTATATAACAAAATTTATATTACACGTATGCAATTAGACCGTTTTAACCTCGTGTTTTGTTAAAAATGGCCATGAAAGCTGCGACGCCGCTAGATTAGAGGTGGCAACTGGCAAACAAATTGGGTCGGGTGAGTTCAAGTTTGGGTCATTTTGGGTTTAGGTTGGATTACTCATTGAGTCGATCCAAGTTGCTTATTGAGTAGACTCAACTCATTCCGAGTGTAGTTCGAATAAAATTTTGACATAATCGTACAAGTATTTTTTTTTTTCAAAATTGATTAAAAGTAAATAAAATAATAATGATATAATAAAGTAAGTATTGGAAATTAAACCTACATAGACAATTGGGTTTTCAAATAAAAATATAAATTTTTTTATTTCAGTTTCCCTTTCCTTTTTAACGTATTAAGTGAATAGTTGGTAGTAACTTAATTTTATTTTATTTTTATATTAACAAGACAATAAAAGTTTAAGTAAATTTATTATATATTATAATTATTTATTGCAAGGAATACAATTTATTACAATATGATAATTTTGATTTTGTTATTATAGCACAAGATATTCTAAAATTTTATCAAAAAAATTTATATATGTTATAATTTAATTATGCAAACTCAAGCGGATCATCCTCTCAAGGGTTGTTTCAAGTTTCCATTTCACCACATACTTTGAATTTATCCTGCTTGCTCCATCTAATTTTTCTTTATAATTTATTTTTAAGGCAATAAATTACTATTATACTATAAACTTTATCAAATTTTCTATATAAATATCTTAAATTTTTCAATAAATATTTTGAGAAAATAAATTATTTCAATCAACCATATTAAAACAAATCACTTAATTCAAAATTATAATAGATTTAAACATTTAAAATTTATTCCATCTATATTCTTTTTTGTAAAAGCTTTCAAAATTTTCTTACATTTTCGAGAAAAATCTCAAGTAAAAATTAGAAAAATATGGTAATGAAAAAAACAAAATAAATAAATAAATAAAGTGCATGTATGAGAAAAAAATGTTTTAATTAAACATTTAATAAGAAAATATACATTAAATTCACTCATTTAAAATTCTTAAATAGAAAATTAACATGCTTTAAACCCAATTTTTTTAATTTATGTGATTGAAATACCCCGAATTCTTATTTTCAAAACTTTGGGATTTTTTATTAAATCAAAAATCTGAATTTTTGATAGAATGGGTTGGTAGGATCGAGTAATTCTAATTTGAGCCCAAAGTTTTACGAGTTGGGCCCAAGCCCAAATAAAATGTCAAAAATTTTGAATCGTAAACAGATAGATTTTTGAGAAGTCCCCATAGCTATTTAACGAGAGTTGGCCCAGCCCAAACATAAAAAAATGTCAAAAAATTGAATCGTAAAAACGATAGATTTTTAGTAAGTAATTACGAAATCCCATTAATTTTTTAAACCTACAATTAGTAGAAAATTATAGAAAAAAAATTTAAATTGATCGAGTAATTCTAATTTGAGCCCAAAGTTTTACGAGTTGGGCCCAAGCCCAAATAAAATGTCAAAAATTTTGAATCGTAAACAGATAGATTTTTGAGAAGTAATACGAAATCCCATAATTTAACCTATTATGAAAATAAAAAAAAATTAAAAATTAATTAATCATCCTAAAATCAAATACTATTATTATTGTTATTATTGAGTAAATTGAGGAAATGTTCTAGAACCTAACCAAAACAATTAAAATAAAACAAATCAGACCAGAAAACCCATTTAGTATCTTTGAAACTGAGTCAAATTACTGAATTGGACTAAACCGGTTCGAATCGAACAGGAATAGTCTAGAAACTCAGATTTTTCCTCCTCTTTTTTTTTTTCTTTCTTTTTTTTTCTTTTTCCTTTTCCTCTTCTTCTTCTTTTCCGGAGCGGCGTCGACCTCACCCTCGCCCTCTCCTCTAGTTTTTCGATCACTGCAGACCGGTGCCACGCCTTGCCGTCGCTGCTCCCTCGCCGTTCTCTCTCTGTCTCTCTTTCCGTTTCTTTCCAAACGAGACAGCCCTTCCCTTCGTTTCATTTTGCCGGCGACTCCACCACCATAAACGCCAGCTCCACCTCTCTCTCCGGTCTCTCTTTCTTTCTGTTCTGGGTTCGTTTAGCAGTAAAGAGGAAGAGTGCGGGCTACGCTTTCCAATCGTCATAGCCCGTGCTTTCCATTTTTGTTTTCGGGCGAGACCAGCCAATTACCGGCCAGTTTAGACCTGCTGCTTCTTCACCGGTCCTCCTCTGCCCACTGTCTTTCCCATTTTTTTTGGATTAGTTGGGGCGCAACTGCAAAATAGCGAGAGAGACTTGTGATTGTGACTGTTCATCCGGAAATTTGAGTACTCCGACTTGTTTTGCAATTTAGTAAGTAATTTTCAGCCTCTTTCTTGGTGCTATATGATTTCTTGCGACTAGATTAAGCGACTAGATTAAAGATTTGAGCTTGGATAGGTAGTTGTGATGGAATGGTAGTTGTGATGGAGTTAGGGATTTTAGATACTGTTTACGCGAGATTATTAAAATAAATTCTCAAAATTTATGCTGCCATTGATGATATAAATTGAATTTCTATGAAATATGATATAAGAATGTAACACTTGTAGAATTTGACTTGAGATTGAACATGAATTTCAGTTTGTAAAGAGCTTTGGGATTCATAAACGCTGTGCTAAAAATAATTCGGGAAATTTTGAAATTAATCTCTAATTGAAATATAAGCAGAGGTTTATGTTTATTTTGAAGTGGCAGCAAGCTTGTGATAAGTCAATAGGAATTATGAAGACTTCTTAATCATGCAAAGATTAGTTGATTTAGTATGAGTTTCAAAGAATTTGCTTGGGATTTGACAATTATGTTTTTGTATAAAGTAAATATGATGTTATTTAGATTATGAATGCGAAACATTTAGAATGATTGTTATGAATCCAAACGCGAAAGATAA